TCTGTAACACCAACCTTACTATCTGTAACACCAACCTTACTATCTGTAACACCAACCTTACTATCTGTAACACCAACCTTACTATCTGTAACACCAACCTTACTATCTGTAACACCAACCTTACTATATGTAACACCAACCTTACTATCTGTAACACCAACCTTACTATCTGTAACACCAGCCTTACTATCTGTAACACCAGCCTTACTATCTGTAACACCAACCTTACTATCTGTAACACCAACCTTACTATCTGTAACACCAACCTTACTATTTGTAACACCAACCTATCTGTAATACCAACCTTACTATATGTAACACCAACCTTACTATATGTAATACCAACCTTACTATATGTAACACCAACCTTACTATCTGTAACACCAGTCTATTTGTAATATCAGCCTATCGTTAACACCAGTCTATCTGTAACACCAGCTTATCGTTAACACCAGTATATCTGTAACACCAACCTTACTATATGTAACACCAACCTTACTATCTGTAACACCAGCCTTACTATCTGTAACACCAGTCTATTTGTAATACCAGCCTATCGTTAACACCAGTCTATCTGTAACACCAGTCTATCTGTAATACCAGCTTATCGTTAACACCAGTCTATTTGTAACACCAGTCTATCTGTAATACCAGCCTATCGTTAACACCAGTCTATCTGTAACACCAACCTTACTATCTGTAACACCAGCCTTACTATCTGTAACACCAGTCTATTTGTAATACCAGCCTATCGTTAACACCAGTCTATCTGTAACACCAACCTTACTATCTGTAACACCAGCCTTACTATCTGTAACACCAGTCTATTTGTAATACCAGCCTATCGTTAACACCAGTCTATCTGTAATATCAGCCTATCTGTAACACCAGTCTATCTGTAATACCAGCCTTACTATCTGTAACACCGTGTACTGTTGCTTTTTTAGTGTGTGTGTTGGGGGGGTGGGGCGGCAATTTATTTGACCAAATCTATAAGCAGGTCTTTTTTCGTACTCCCTCCCCCCTTAACGAAGCAAATCTACCACCCCCACCCCCACTACATCCTCTGAAGAAAATAGAAAAAAATATACAATGTATTTACCAAATATATACCAAATATTTGGTGTCCGCCCCCCTTCCCTGGAAATTTAAGTCCGCCCCCCCCCCCCCCGGAAGTTGTGGAGAAAACAAAATTCTGAAAGAAACACTGTCTACGAGGAATCTATCCGTCACACACTCGTGACCAAAGATCATTTTTATACACATTGATCAAGGGGAGGGTATGTGTGGAGCAAATGTTGAGTTGACTTCGGTCAGACAAAATATAATACTACTCCACTGGACACGCGTAGACCAACAACCTAATCATGTGATATCTCTTACAACTGTAGTGGAGAATTCCCTATGTATGTGTGTGTCCTACTGTACGAAGTGTAAGGTGCAAAGTGCGCCTGTTTGTAGCAGTGTATTGCGTTGATTGCTAAAGGCAAGCGTAAAATAGTGTTAGCTTTTTTTAAGTTCGTGCGTGATTTACTTACACAAAATGGGTTTGTTACTAGTGGTATAATTGGGGTTAAGTGGGGAAGACTAGATGCGTGACCTTATGTTTAATTAATGCAAGTTTCGCAAAACATATTCAAATAGTTTCTTTTATACTCACATGGTTTTTTTTTTTGTTTTTTAATATATTTTTAAACAACTTTTTACTACGAGGGGATTGTTTAGTAAGGGGTTTAAGAATTTTAGATTTTAGCTAGAAATATTTCTGTGATGCCTTTGATACCTTTACACTCTTATGTTTAATTAATGCAAGTTTCGCAAAATATATTCAAATAGTTTCTTTTACACTCACATGTTTTTTTTTTGTTTGTTTTTTAATATATATTTTAAACGACTTTTTACTACGAGGGGATTGTTTCGTAAGGGGTTTAAGAATTTTAGATTTTAGCTAGAAATATTTCTGTGATGCCTTTGATATCTTTACACTCACAAGTTTTTATGTTTGTTTTTATTTTATTTTTATTTTTGTTTATTGTTTTCATATCTTTACACAACCTTTCTACTACGACGGGATTGTTTCGTGAGGGGTTTTAAAATTTTAGATTTACGTGTGATTTACTTGGAAAAGTAAGCTAAGCAATTGACTGATTTTGGTTCTTTTGTTGTTGTTGTTGTTGTTGCTTATTGTTTATATTTCTTTAAACTTTTTTTTTTTACTACGGGGGAGGGTGGAATCTACAGGTTTTAGATTTAAATGTGATTTACTTGGAGAAATAAGCTTAAAAATTGAGTCTGTGATACCTTGAAGTGTATATGTGTTTATTAAGACGGAATTAGGTTGAAGGATAACTTTGCAACTGAATTTCATGCATGGTTAAAATAATGTCTAGTGTTTATGTAGCGAGTAAGGTTTCGTTTCGAGACTGCGTGGTTAAGTGTGTTAGTGTGCACAAGTTCTAACTTCAAAACTAGAATGTTCCACTGTCTTGCACTATAGACTTATATACACGTTAACCATCAAGCTTCTGTGGTACTTAAGTTAAGGGGAAAAAGGCACTGCACTGTAAACCCGGCAACACTATATTTTTTAGTTGAAATCACAAAAAAACATTAATAATTTTTAGGCTTCTCTACATAAAAACGTCAAATACAGAATTTTCTCTAGTATTATTTTATGGTCACAGAATCGTTCGACCCTATACTTATTGTTTGAGTTATGAAGCTTTTATTAATAATAATCAAAACCAGTGCTTTTAATTTACCAGTACCTTAACGACTAAGTTAAATTCATTTTTTTTCCTATATTTTGTTTTAAATAAATCAAACCGAGATTTATAGATTTTCGTTAACAAAGCATAAAGCCACGTCATGCAATTTTATCTGAACCTTGTTTTGATATTTTTTCCCCTCCGGGCAAATGATTCATACAATTTTCAATTTGATTACCGGACCTGAAAGAAGAATCGAATCCTTGTGATCCTTTCTGAAATCAATGAACCATGACGTATTTATTATTTCCAGCTAGTTTTGTGAGGCGAAAAATATCTGGATTTTATTACCTGAAATACGACCCAAAGGTCTATAAGACCCGAAGGTCTATAAGACCTTCCATAAAGCTGAAACTCAATCTTAAGTTTGAAACACAGACCATGGTTTCATATTCATCTATTTATTTATATATAGCTATTGATTTACTTGAACGCATACATACTTATTTCCTTTAGTGATATTGATTCATGTTTTGAATATATATATATATATATATATATATATATATATATATATATATATATATATATATATATATATATATATATATATATATAGAGAGAGAGAGAGAGAGAGAGAGAGAGAGAGAGAGAGAGAGAGAGAGAGAGAGAGAGAGAGAGACCAGTGCTAGTAGTTAGTTAAATATATTAGTGCATGGCTTCCATTGAGTTGTTAACACGTATTTTATAAGATCAATACTATTTAACCTATACGTTTACTAAGTGCAAGCATCTACATACGTGACCGAAAAATGGACTAACAAACATACCATCTATATAGATAATTACCTGTCAATTATTGTATGGTTAACTCCCCTTTTTTATCTTTCAGACGTTATTCACACGTACCGGCGATAGACGAATTTTTAAAAATGAAAGCGATTGTAATAGCGATGAGCAAGGGAGACTAGCAATGGGAGAGTTCGTTGCTTGACTGATTCGTAGGAAGATTAATAACAAAAAGATACGTAATTCCAAACTGTGAAGTAGAAGTAAGTTAAACAGACACACAACAAAAATGTAAGAAGAGATAAGACAACACAGAGGCGTGGAGAATATCAACGAGAAATACAAGCATGAATTTTGTGGTGACTTCTGAGGTTGTCTGGGACCGGAGGTAGAGTTACCGCCCCTGCCATGTCGGTGTCGGTTGCTGAGGATATCTCCAGAGGTATTGTCACCTCCTCCAACACGGGACAGGTAGGAAGATAATCTCTAAACCAATCTGTCTTTGATTATTTACTGGCGCATGTAAAATATATTACCATAGAGCTCACCACATTATTTCTTTTATATGCAGAGGTCACAGAAACAGGTGAAGTCTACTTCACTTTCCGCAAGAACTGTCAGTTTCGAAAATGGAACTTTACTTTTACATGTATAATCCATTAATCTCTAAAATTGTCTTTGATTGAACATACCATTTCCTAATATCACACGAAATCTCATATTTCTTGAGGCTACTCTGTCACGTTTGCATGATGACCATCTTTAGTAAATGGCGTGTGATGGGGATGGTAATCTCTAGCCTAAGTGATGTACACTTTTTAAAAAATCTCAAACCTAAAGTTGATTTGATACTCATAGATCTATATGGAGATGATGGTTTTCGTAATATTTGTATCAATACTGTTTTGCTGTTCGGTTATTTCATGCAATTTTTTTTTCTGAAACTTAATTAACAGTTTAGCCGATTTCTATATATTGATTGCCTTCTTTTGTTTTATCTAGATGATGCACATTATTTTTTACGCTGTAGGCTCATATATGTCCTTTTAAAGTTGATATTGTTTCTATAAATCTCGGATTATGTAACACTTATTTAGCGTTAGTATATATTTTTCAGAACCATTTCGCTCGTAAACACAATAACTAGTGCCTATATGTTAATACAAATATGTTAACTAACAATATGTTTGAAGAAGAATAAACGAAAATTAAACAACGGCTTTTCCCACGGAGTTCACTACACAAGGTCAAGGTCAATCAATTGTTGAGGATCAATTAATTACCGAGTCCTTGTTTCTTCACTTACACGACAAGAGAACCCGACCCTCGGCAATACAATTAAATAAATAGCCTCGGTCGTAGATGGGCGGTGGTACAGTGAGATCGTGAGTGGTCGCAGCTTCATTTGCAAGTCTATTGTGGGTTCTTATTTCAGAGCCGGCTTGACAATATAGTATCGTATCGAAGTTTTTATAATAAGACGGTATCGTTAGTGAGATCGTGAGTCGTCGCAGCTTCATTTGCAAGTCTATTGTGGGTTCTTACATCAGAGTCGGTTTGACAATACAGTATCGTATCGAAGTTTTTATGACATTACAGTATCGTATCGACGTTTTTATAATAATACAGTATCGTTAGTGACATCGTGAGCGGTCGCAGCTTCATGTGCTAGTCTATTGTGGGTTCTTACAGTAGAGCCGGTTTGACAATACAGTATCGTATCGAAGTTTTTATTATAAGATAGTATCGTATTGAGTTTTTTTTATTTATTTCTCCCTATTGTCAGTTAGGGTTACCATTGGTTTAGTGCTAAAGCAAGAGTTAGTGATAAAACTAGTAGTAAGATAAACATCATGGTAATTGTTAGGATTTGTATTGAGGGTTTGGGTTAGATATTCAGAAATCGATACTAGTTTCACATTCACCTCGGTTACGTCCCGTTGCATATTTAATATGCCAGTGAATATCTTGAGAACCTCTCAATTGTTATGCAATACTTAGTGTCACTTCTTTTCCCGTGTTCATTTTTTTAGGAGAGAGCTATGTCTTTAGTACATGCTGGAGAAACAGTTTGAATGTAAGATTCTTGACTGGAGTGGCGTCCGTCGTTATAGTATAGTGTGTAGTACTAGAACATTATTGCCTTGTTGTAGTGAAACAAGCACTTTACGATATAGTAAGAATTGAGTTCATATATAGAATAGCCCTAGATTGGGGTTAAAGGTCACGCTGAACCAACAAAACTGAAAACGAAGATAAACTGTTAGTTGTAATTTCAGCCTGCTTTTCTATTTGGATTTGCTTCCATAGCCTTTGTCCAACCAAGAACAAACTACAAGGCATCAGTTATGGCTAACGAACCTCAACTGCCCGAGGGTTCGAACTCGAGACTTTTCGAAATAGCAACCATGAGCTTTACCGACTCGACCACGCCGACCCAATAGAGTCTAAATGATGTAGTCACAAAAACATACGAATCTTACTTCATGTGTTGTAATGTAAACAAAACAGGGCAACTAAAAAATGTCACCATTACTTTATGCCACAATCTATACACTATCATTCATTGTAAACATATTACACTTGGTAAATATACATATTTTAGCCCAAGTCAAATTTTACTAAATCCGTCAATTTAACAATCCTACATCTGTTAGTATAACAATCCTTTATTTGTCAGCATAACAATCCTACGTCTTTCAATATAAGAATCCTATATCTCTCAGTATAACAATCCTACATCTGTTAATATAACAATACTACATCAGTCAATCTAACAATACTACATCCGTCTTCTGTCAATTTAACGATCTTACCCCTGGGTCGATATAACGATCCCTCCCTAGCCATCGTAACAATCCTGGCTATCGATGAAAGAGCCCGATCCGTGTTCATTATCACAATCCAACACATTGTAAGATTTAACAATCCCACGAATCTAGTCATTACCACAATCCCACGCTGCTGTTAAAACAATCCCACGAATCTAGTTATTACCACAATCCCACGCTGTTGTTAAATCAATCCCACCAATCTAGTTATTACCACAATCCCACGCTGTTGTTAAATCAATCCCACCAATCTAGTTATTACCACAATCCCACGCTGTTTTTAAATCAATCCCATCAAACTAGTTATTATTCAAATACCACACAATGCTTTAGTTAACAATCCCACCAATCTAGTCAATATTACAATCTTACCCTATTCAATGTATCAATTCGTATACTAGTCTACCTTATAAGAGCCCCCAACCCCCACCTCCACACCCCCCCCCCCAAAAAAAAACAACTATTAATGTAACGGTCCAGCTTTTCCGCCAGCAGTAAGTACACACACATCCACATACCAACGCATACAAACTTACGTAGACGCACACACACACACACATACATAGAAACACACTCACGTACACACACAAACACCAACACCTACAGCTCGACATGACTAACGGATCACCCCTGCTCTCGATCACAGCTCCAAAAAAAAAAAATCGACGTCACCTGTCAATCAATATCGATCTTTTTTCAATCAGAACCTTTTCCTGTCGCTCTTACCGTTACTATCAATAAAAATCGACCTGAAACCTGTTCCCTACCTGTACGAAAAAAAACTTATTTAAAGACCAACACAACACAACAAAATTAACGGTAGTGTTGTTGTTAGTTCATTCGTATGTGGTGCAGTTCTTAGCCCGTATCAAGTGTGTGCAGTTTGTTAATATCAATTAGGATTTAAACGAAGAAGTCAGTTAGTATTTAAGAAATTCTGCCTGTTAATAAAGGTATCGTTAGTTTGGTGAGAAGAAAATGTGTTAATTAAATGGTGAACTAGAATCTTTAAATAAAATATTTCATTTTATTAACAATAACTGATTTCAATGTTTTAAAATGTTTATTATTTATTCAACCTTGTAAAACAGCTACGTTTTCATTTATAGTTATATTCCTTTAAAGCAAATCAAATTTTCCTTTTATTTATTTTTTTACTATTTTTATTGCTAATTATAAGAAATTCTACTAATTTTATCTATTTATTTTTTTAATTTTTTTTTTTTTTTTTTGAAGACTTAAAAAAAAATTCATAAAAAACGTTTAAATAACAAGCTTTTATGTAATAATGCACTAAAAAGTAGAAAATTATAGACTACTATTTAAATAACTATAAAGAAAAGCGTTAGTGTCTTCCTTAACATTAGTAAAGGTATCCAATAGATACTAAAGTGACCCACGCTTTTCTTTATAGTTATTTAAATAGTAGTCTATAATTTTCTACTCTTTAGTGCATTATTACATAAAAGCTTGTTATTAAAACGTTTTTTATGAAATTTTTTTTCAGTACTTTACATGTTTTATTTACAATAGAGTTACATGACTAAAAACCATTGCGCGCCTACTGAACGTGATACCGCGCGCCTACTGAAGGTGATGGCGCAGCTATTGAACGTGATGACGCGTGTGGTGTGGTTGGACAGACATGCCTATTGATTCGGTCCAAATTTTAATTAATTCATAAAAAATTAATTAGGCATCCAATTAAGTCAAATTTAATTTCAGATTGCATTGTCTTCATGTCTTGACCCACGTGCCAAATGTGAATCGTATCGGTCAAATAGAAATGTCCGAAATTTCACTCCAGCATTTCCATCTAGACAGACAGACTGACGACAGAGGAAGCAAGTTAAATAAAAGCTTGTAAAAAAAAAAATTCATAAAAAAACGTTTTAATAACAAGCTTTTATGTAATGATGCACTAAAAAGTAGAAAATAAATTATAGGCTACTATTTAAATAACTATAAAGAAAAGCGTGGGTCACTTTAGTATCTATTGGATACCTTTACTAATGTTAAGGAAGACACCCACGCTTTTCTTTATAGTTATTTAAATAGTAGTCTATAATTTATTTTCTACTTTTTAGTGCATCATTACATAAAAGCTTGTTATTAAAACGTTTTTTTATGAATTTTTTTTTCAGTACTTTACATGTTTTATTTACAATAGAGTTACATGACTAAAAACCATTGCGCGCCTACTGAACATCACGTTCAGTAGGCGCGCAATTGTTTTTGAACGCAGCCATTACGTGATGGCGCAGCTATTGAAGGTGATGACGCGTGTGGTGTGGTTGGCTAGACATGCCTACTAATTCGGTCCAAATTTTAATTAATTCATAAAAAATTAATTAGGCATCCAATTAAGTCAAATTTAGATTCAGATTGCATTGTCTTTATGTCTTGACCCACGTGCCAACTGTGAATCGTATCGGTCAAGTAGAAGTTTCCGAATTTTCACTCCTGCGTTTCCATCTAGACAGACTGTCGACAGACTGTCGACAGAGGAAGTGAGTTAAATAAAAGCTTGTAAAAAAAATTCATAAAAAACGTTTTAATAACAAGCTTTTATGTAATGATGCACTAAAAAGTAGAAAATAAATTATAGACTACTATTTAAATAACTATAAAGAAAAGCGTGGGTCACTTTAGTATCTATTGGATACCTTTACTAATGTTAAGGAAGACACCCACGCTTTTCTTTATAGTTATTTAAATAGTAGTCTATAATTTATTTTCTACTTTTTAGTGCATCATTACATAAAAGCTTGTTATTAAAACGTTTTTTATGAATTTTTTTTTCAGTACTTTACATGTTTTATTTACAATAGAGTTACATGACTAAAAACCATTGCGCGCCTACTGAACATCACGTTCAGTAGGCGCGCAATGGTTTTTGAACGCAGCCATTACGTGATGGCGCAGCTATTGAAGGTGATGACGCGTGTGGTGTGGTTGGCTAGACATGCCTAATAATTCGGTCCAAATTTTTATTAATTCATAAAAAATTAATTAGGCATCCAATTAAGTCAAATTTAGTTTCAGATTGCATTGTCTTCATGTCTTGACCCACGTGCCAACTGTGAATCGTATCGGTCAAGTAGAACTGTCCGAATTTTCACTCCTGCGTTTCCGTCTAGACTGACGACTGACGACTGACGACAGAGGAAGTGAGTTAAATAAAAGCTTGTAAAAAGAGTTGCGTTTGAACATGTTTTTAATTACATCCTAATGGCGAGCTTAAAAGAAAGTCATATGTATGTGATTACTACTAAACGTAAAGGATGTTTACTACTTAACATTCATGACCTAATTAAGATGCTTCATTAAGATCCACGAGCTGGGTCAGTCTAACCTTTATTCCTTTTGTTCTTATAATTAACCGAGGAAGATAACTATCGCGCCGTCGCTACAGGGACGCAACTCGAGACAGACTCGGCTATTCTTAGAACTCTATTATCCCTGTAAGATTTGTGTCTCCATCTCTTGAATGCTCTCCCCTTCATCAACACTGTTATTGTACCCTTCCCAGATCCCGAAGGACGGAGCCGAGGAAAAACTCCGCGATTTACGACGTCCCCGGAAGTTGCGATTCTACGTCAACGGCGACAGGTACTTCCGGGGTAAGAAAATCTACATCACCCCCAACCGCTACCACAGCTTCAACGATCTACTCAATGACCTCACCGGGAAGCTGCCGTCCAATTTCAACCTCCCCTACGGCGTCCGGCAGATATTTACACCGGCTTCCGGTCGTCGGATCCACGATATCGGGGACCTGTCGGACGGGGAGACGTACGTCTGTGCCGGGTTCGAGGGTTTTAAGATGATCAAGTACGGTCGGGCTGACCTGGAACCCTGGTCTATGGGTCAGTTTACTTTTGTCTTTGGACTTTATTTCTTTTTCATATCTGGCTTTCATTATTGCACTCTTTTCTCGCAATTTCTTTTCTGTTAAATATTTCTATTTATAATTGTATATGCATGATTTGTTATGTAGTGAGGTATAATGTTTTGAACAAACATGTGTACAGTAAAAATACTACAATAAAAAGATACATAGGCATACATCTAAAATCTAAAATATTATGTAAATATTAATTTATTAAAAAAGATACATACATCTAAAATATTATGAAAATATTAATTATTTATTAGGTAATTAGTCATCAAGATCTTTCATTAACAGAATATTTTACATCTCTTGGGTAGAATAATGCTAGGTACCTAATTGAACTGGGTAGAATAGAGCTAGGTGCTCTTTCGAGCTGAGTTTACTAGTTCTGGGTATCTACTACAGATGAGTAGACTCTAGGCAGCGTGGGTTGGGTTTAGGTACCAATTAAGCGTGGGTGGTCGGGTCAGGTACTCAACTCTGATGTGTACCTGACTGAACTAGGGATCGTGATCTAATCAGAGAACTGAACAAAATTGTCATGAGCTATACAGCTTGTTGTGTAAGCCATTCAACACAAACCCAGGCTTTACGTAGATCAAAACGTACTGTAACTACCGAGAACACATACCTGTTTGTGAACTCGATTTGTTAAGTCAAGTGATCTAACATGACTTGTGTCACCGTTAACACGTATCTGTTGTTCAGTGAAGCGTAACTCCTCAATAACTTAAGTGCCAGTTCTCTATTCACTCTGTCTGATTATGCTAGACTAGCTGGGCATATTACGTGTGGGTTTATGGAAATTTATCTAAATGCTGACGATATGTCTGCTATCGCTCTTAAAAGGAATAAACTGGTTTAAATGTTATTCTTTGTCTTTATCAAGTTTAACGATATTCTATGCTTATACACTTGAAAATGTTCATGTCTAGTAAATAAACGAGAAAAAATCATGCTTTAAATATATATATATATATATATATATATATATATATATATATATATATATATATATATATATATATATATATATATATATATATACATACACAAGATTAGATTTGACAATTATACAGTTAATATATTAAAAATGTCGTATTTTCGTCCTAAAAGCATTGTAGTGTATATATTTTTGGTGCAAAAAAGTTGTTCAAGATCCAATGACAGTCCTCATATTTATGGTTTTTAAATTCGTCGTTATCCTTCTTTAGAAAACTGTCTGGCTTAGCGATTATACGTCTGAGATTAAAAAAATGTTTAGAGATTTCCTGGCTAGTGATTAACCACGTGGGGCAATTATAATAAAATTAGTAATAAATATTTAAATATCAAATATAAATCTTTTAGATGCAAACGCACACACATTCACACACCAACAATAAAAAAACGACATCGTTCTAAAGAACAATAAATATACCATTGACTAATAATCAGATGGTTGCATGCACATTACATAACTGTAGCCATTAGAATTTTTTTGTTTTAAAATTATACTTTACATTTCTTTCAAGGAGCAGGAGGAGAAGCTGGTATGTATAGCAAGGAGCTGGTTTTATTTTTCATGTGTGATGCTTTAACAATTATTTTCAACTTTTTTCTTTTATCCATATAAGTAATATGGCGGTTTTTGTTTTTGTTTTTTAAAAAAAAATTTTTACACTTGTGTATGTTCGCTCGTTAGTTAACACAATTATTAAATACATCACGTAATGCTTTGATTAGCTTGGCACAGCTGTTTAATATTTTGTTCTACACCCACTACCACTTATATTGAAACCGTGTGTGCTAGATTGTATTTCAACCTATATTAACTCTATTGTTATTACTTTACTGCCGTTGGTACACAAAAGTAACAATGGGGGGGGGGGGGGATAATTTTGAATGAAATAGTATTAGACATTTCCACAAACATAAAACGAGAAGATTTTAAAAGTCCAACAAAGGTTTTAACATTTACAAACATATTTCTCTGAATGCACACACACATAAACACACACACACACACACACACACACACATATATATATATATATATATATATATATATATATATATATATATATATATATATATATACACATATCGACAACAAAACTGCAAACATGTCAATTATTTTCATCTACTAATTAAATTAATTTTTTTTCCATCTATAAATTCCTGTTCCGTGTCTCTCTGACCTAGCTTAAGTCCACATAGAGGGAGGCAATCAAAACACCGCCCTAAACTTGTCTAATCCCCTTGTATGTTATCATCCCGGCCACATTCGTGCCATGCTTGTTATATTTTCTTTCCTCCCCGGTCGCATGACAACAGTAAACAAATGACGTCATCACCATGGCTCGTTATCTCGCGGTGGATGTTTGTTCTGGTCGTGAGATGGCGGCAACTGGACGTGTCACGTGATGACTGTGTTTAAAATAAAATAAAAAAAAGTACACACATTATGCACTAACAAAGCAGTGATATCGAAAGGGGATGTTACCTTTGCTGCGATAGACCATGAACTACATGAAGTAGATCGATGTTTCCTTTTTGTTTTAATTGTTTTTTGTTAAAATAGAATTGTTATTCTTCGTTCTTAATTGTTATGTTGGAAGGGATTCGCTTCAACACAATTAGGTATTACGTGTCAACTTGTTATGCACAATATAGGCCGTTGACTCCGATCTCTCAACCTGCTTTTCTTTTTGATTTTCTGCTATAGCCTTTGTCCAACCAATAACAAACTACAATGCAGAGGCGACGCGACTCGCGAGGCGGGTGCGGACCGCACCGGGTGACACAATTTATAATATTATATAAAGATGAAAAAATGGTTGTGCCAGTTGAGTAATGCTAAATTAGAGTGAAAAAGTCTTTGAAATACAAATTGACAAATCCCGACAATGGTGGGGAGGTGAGTAAATGACGTAAACCTGCTAACTATAGAGACACCAATGCTACATCCAGCTGTATTAATTACCTACATTAGATAAACATTGCTACTGTTAACTGTACACACTATAAAGCTATCATGTAAAATTCACAGAGGAAAAGATGTTAACTTGAATATTTTCAGTTACTGGTAATTAAAGTCAATGAACGACCAGGGTGGGTATGTCACCATATCTAATAATTTGCTGTGAAAACGTTGCCTGGGAGGCATATATATATATATATATATATATATATATATATATATATATATATATATATATATATATATATATATATATATATATATATATATATATATGGTGGGGGTGGGGGTGAAACTATGAGGTTTCGCACGGGGTGATACCCGACCTAGCGACGCCACTGCTATAAGGCATCAGTTGTTTAATTTAGGAGTTGTCTCTCCTAGAAGAATTTATGTCCCCAGCTATCGAGACTCGTCTTCCCGGGGGTTCGAACTCGAGACTTTTCGATTTAGCAACCATTATCGATTTCGTTGCATTCTCTAACGGTAATTGAGCAAGATTTCGTGCTTTATTCTCTATCTGTTTGACACTACTCTAACGTCTATGCTTCTTAAATGTAGAGGTTTTAATGATAGGGTGAGGGATATGGATAGTTGTTTATAATTATTTATAAAGTTACGTTAATTGCGAGAGTGATAATAGTGAAAAAGTAATATTGATATAGTTTTGTCGGCGAACACCTAAAATTAATAATTATTCCATTAATTAATCTCGCTGTAAAAATTATATGTCAAGGTAGAGGGAATTGCTTATAAGCATTTATAAAGATGACGTACTGTAGTTTGTTTTTGTTTGCTTGCTTGTTTTTTTTTGTGGTATGTTTGTTTGTTTGTTTGTTTGTTTTCGTAAAAAATAAGTTTTGTTAGATGTGTTGAAACAATAATATTTCTGGCAATGTTGTAAAGAAAAAAAATGCCTTCATTTATTACTAAGAAATTTTTTTAAACGATTACGCTGTTCTTATATTCTTCAAAACAAAATAATAATAATCATGCCCTATAGGTATAGTGATACAAGACACGCTTTCCAGTCTTGTAGGGTATGTCTAAATATGCCAAAGTTCTAAGACTTAAAAGTTTAGTAATCTGAAAAATTGTATACTAAATATTATGTAGAATTTATCATTCATTGTACACAATCTATAAACAAATTAGATTCCGATTACACAACGTGTATGCTTATTTCTGATTCATTGAACTCAAAGTACATACACATTAGATTCCAAGTCTTTAAATATATTTTAATGTACTTAGGTTTACAATGTTTCTTATTATGTCAACTTATATATTAAAAAGTTAAAGTAATTCAAAACATTTGTATAGTGCTTTAACGTAATGACATATAAGTGCTTTTATTTTCTTTAAATAAACTGAGTTGTGTTGTAACTATCCCAAGCAGTTTTCTCATTGGCTCCTGTAATCGATGTTCACTGCCTATACCAGACATTATCTAAAATCGAATCTAGCATACTATTTTCTTCAATCGAAATTGTCTCCCCTCTCCCCTCTCCCTCCTACTCCCGGAAATTCTATTTCTCAATCACCAAGACGCATTAGTTTCTGCATGATTTCATTCATAGCTAGATATAGATCTATAGTTGTTTTTTTTCGCTCTGCATTGCTCATCTAGGAACACTTGAATGTTTATTTTTTTTTCTGTGAATGAGGATGTAAAGTGAAACATTTATGTACAATTCAAGTACCCTACATTTAGCCGTGGGTTTTACAAATGTTAATGTTTACAACCGCTTCATTGAGTCACGCGTAAGCTGATTGGCTGGGGGCGAAAGTGTGTCATCTTACCTAAAAATAGAACTTTGAGTGGCTAATACAGTAAAGCTTAAAATAATGCAGCATACGCATCGTATGCCTTTCCCCCTCCTCAATTCTTGGTTCTAGGCCCTTTTTTGTTTGGGCTTTTTAAAAATGGTATCACTGCATAGTTTTCGTTTAAATCAAGGAATACTTTATTATTTTTATTTTCAACAAACATCACTTTAGAGATAAATGACCACAATATGACTTGGTTTAGTTTCATGCCAGTATTACCAATCTCTTTCTTGAAATTCTCATTAGAAGATTATATAACCATTGCACTTCCTTACATTTCTGCCACTGCGGTCGAGTATTTGTACATTTTATAGAACTCTTCTTCCTCTTATTATTCTTATGTGGCCCCTTGGACAGCAAAGGGCTGCAGCCACACCTCTCCACTGGACTGTTTTTGAGCAGTTCTCTTTATTAGCATTCGTATAGTGCTTTAACGTAATGACATATAAGTGCTTTTATTTTCTTTAAATAAACTGAGTTATATTGTAATTATCTCAAGCTGGTTTCTCATTGGCTCATGTAATCGATGTTCACTGCCTATACCAGACATTATCTAAACTCGAATCTAGCATCGCAATCTAATTAGCCAAACATTTTCATTATGGATCGACATAAATCTGACCGTATAATCATGTACATTTAAAAACAAGAACAGGAAATTTGACAGGGAAAAGCAGGTCGCGAAATTGCAAGGTATTACTGTATACACTCACTACTTCCCAAATAAGCCGGTCATGTAAGATCGAAAGTGTAACATCTTTACAAATAAAATAACAGTGTTTTAACCCAGTTGTGCGGCGAGAACTGCTGTAAAGGATGCAAAAACCGCGACACCGCCTTGAGTATGTAAACAAGGGGAGACACATTTGATCCCGCGACAAGTGGACAATAGAAGGGGAGACAAACGCGATACTTCATTGAGTGGACGGTGTAAGGGGAGGGAAACGTGATCGTGTGGACATTAAAAAGGGGGAGACAAACAAGATTCTCTATCATTAGTTACGTCGCTTGCGTGGAGTTAACCAGACTTCACGAGTTTACTCGCTGAGTAGTGCTGTAGTTGTCTTCACGGGGAGTTGTGTTCACAATGACTTTGGGAACTTGTAAGTAGATTAAAATAGTTTTTTGTTTTCTCAACTCATTTTTTACACTACACTATACCTATTGTAGATTATATATGTATACCAGTATCCGATAATGGACTATTAGAAAATATGTTACTAGATTTCCGCTGTCGAGCAGATTTTGTCTATATCTTTAACTAGATTTGCGTGCACTGAGAATGATATAAGGACCGTGTAAGTAAATCAAAAAGAGTGCAGTAATGCAGTCCCATAACTAGGAACTAAGTGATCGTGTATTAAAGTCAATCCGATGTAGCAAGACATTTGGAACTTCCTTTTTTTTAATTCTTCCCTCCTTCCTCTTTTCTGTCCCTCACACCTTCTTGCACATCTTCTAATCCTATTCACATCCCTCTTCTCCTTCCTCCCCCTCTCTCTTTCCACTTAAATTAAATATCCCATCACTCGATCAATTAGCCGCATGGTTTTAATTCCTTGTTTAGAAATGTACTATTTTTAGAATATTTCTTTTTAACATACCAGGAAGTTGTATGACATAAATATTTAATTACATGTATTATTCAATGTGTGAAACATTGAATGTGTAAGGTAAAAGGTAATAGCGGGACAGACAGAAGATTACTTAGCTAAAAAAGTTTTACAGTTACTTAGGTATTGAGGCTATCCATGACTGGCGTCTCATGCCAATGGAGGGGGGGGGGGGGTCAGACATCTGTAACGATATGCAACCTCGGAAAGGGTTCATGAAATGTGAAGTCACAAATGTAGTAGAGAAAGATCTAGTATTTTAAGAAAAAATAAACATGTTTATTTTCTTAGTCTAATCTTTATTTCTAAAAGTTTGCAGTAAAAATTCACGTAAAGTCTAGCTGTTTGTGTTATATAGCTATAAGTTCTGGGGAAAAATCGTTGAAAGCATCGGGCGTCAGTCATTGAGGAATCCTTTTCTATACACGATACGCTTATTAGCGGCTTATTCAATCACAACTTTGCTGTGTAAACAATTATTTATTAGTGTATATTTTTAATAGTTGTTTATAAATATTTTTCTTTACTATTTCTCATGTTCGTTGACATGGCCTTCCTAATTTTTCACTGGCCTAGAAAGTCAACTGGGTAATTAACGTCAGTAAACCTACATCTCAGACTAGTCTATTCTAGGGCAGTCTCGCCTGAAAGATATAAAAGTTTTACTCTAATAAAGTAAAAGTAAAGATTTACTCTTTAGACTTAGCTATCCATTAGGCAGATGAAGTAGAGGTATGTTTCTTGACCTAGGCATTTAAAGATATTGTGTGGTCAACACTAAGCCCAGCAGCCATTTCTTTCCCCAACGTAAGTCAGGTATCCTTAAGAACGGGACTGCCTAAAAAAGGGGGGAGCTTAAAATATCAAAATTGATCCAAACTCGAGACCATCCGGCTATCTGCCAAACGCTCTGGTATTTAAAAAAAGGGGGGGGGGGAGCTTAAAATATCCTGCTGTCTTATGTTATATATCAAATAGGTTTAGTATACAATGATTAAATACTCTACGGCTTTCTCGCCTGCTATCTAAAAGGTTTACTGTGTCATGATTAAAATCTTCTTTAACCGTCTCAACTGATAAATCTAAAAAGGCTTACAATACCATGATTAATGACAGTGTAGACCTGTGCCAATAACAATCTGCCCACGAAATTTTAAAACCCCATTGTGACGTATACACGTGACTCATTAAATACCCGGCGTACCTGTACGTATAGCGATCGATTTTTTTTTCGGCGTGAATAGATCTATAGTTATTGATCTAGCCACTGTTATAACCTCAATTTAAATGAGCCGATTAAAATCATGTATTCAATAATTGTTTCCTTGTCTCTGTTAATTAGAAATCCTTTTAAAGTGGTTACCAAATAGTTATAAGAAACTGTGTTTGTGATACATATTCTTAAGCTCTCAGATTAAGCACATATGTAATGTAAAATGACATATTTTAACCCATTTTAATTTTAACCCACGATTTTTATCTAAAATTACGTGTAAACCCTTCCGGCTCTTGTATCATATAATATTCACCTCTGCCCCCCCCCCCCACACACACACACTACCACAACTCAAATTTATACTACATAATTATTTTTTTAAACAAATTATGATAGGCGCCTCAGTTTAGAGGAAAAAGTGAGCTTAATCTTTATCAAACACTGTTGCGAAGCCTAGTAATAAGTAAAGAAAAACTTACAATTTAATGCTGTCAACTCATTCATTGATCTATTCAAATTAGCAAGATTTTTTTTGACGATAAAAATAAAGTATATCATAGGTTATAATAATATAACATTGCTTTATAGCAAACGCTCTCTCTCTTTCATATAACACAATATAACAAAGTACTAACGTCCACCACATAGCCCTCTCGTGCCCAGTCTCTTACGAGAAATGTTTATTACTGCCAACTCTACCATAACCATTAAACCATAAATTTCTGATCTAGTTAAAATGCCAGTAATTACTCCGCCTGTACTAAAAAGACACCATACATTTTGTTAATCCACATTTGTGTATTTATTGAATGGAATCATAAAAAACAACTAAAACTCTCATCGATTACGTTGTGTGAGTGTTATGTCAATATATCTATGTAACATTTGTCAATGTATAACACATGCAGCCGTTAACATTAACATAGCAAGTTTTTTTACGGGGGGGGGGGGGGGGGGGGGTCGGAATCTAAATGGGGTTCAATGTAGAGTTGGGGAGTGTGAGTAGGTGAATAAAACTCAGTGGCGGATCACGTTTAGACTGGTTTAAAATTTATCATGAATTCTTGATTTAAAACCATCTGGAAACCTTAATTTAAATATTGCTTGGATAGCTGGTATAAAAATAATCCAGTTTTAAAGAAATCCTGGGTTCTTGATTTAATTTCAAGTTATTCACCTCTACTCTATAATGTAAAATTTGTTGTTTTTTTTAATGAAATTTCAAATGTTAACATTTTAAACATTACGCAAGACCAAATTTATTTTTAGGATTCATTGAGGGCTCCACACCCCCCCCCATGGGCTCCCTACACACTCAGTTACGTCACTTACTGCTTGAATGTGAAAGTGTGTTGATATCTCGACACAATGGAACTCCTGACCTTACTTGTCACAACTTTTACGGCACAAGGATCTGCTTCTACAATTACATCGACTGTTTACATGAACCCCTTTACGGGCGCTATAAACTGAGAGACCCCTGCCAGACAGTTGAAGACATTTACTGTCGCTAGTGTGTTTTAAAGTGGGGAAATTCCAGAAAACTTAGGAAATATCGGCATTGAGTTAAATACACTACAGCCGTCAGTGTCTACTAAATTTAAAATAGACTTTAATGGGTTAAATGTTATGCCGAACATAAACAGAGTTGGATTATTTTCTGTAGAGAGCTGTTATGTGATAGGCATCTGCTTCTGACAAATATAAATTGTCGATAGCATTTTGTTTTATTGATAGACGGTGATCCTACAAAATCTAAAATAGTCTCTAACGGGCTGAATGTTATAATAAATGCACAGAGGCTATGAGATTTTTGTGTAGAGAGCAATGTTCTATTGACGGCTAACCTTACATTTGTGTTTGTGATAGACGGTAATCAAAAATGTATCAGTGTTTTGAGTCAAGCGATGGTATGTATCTGCATTTTGCATATTGCAGAAGTTAGATAGACATTACTTTTTGTAGAAAGTAGATTAATATTGCTTTATGTACATGTTGACGTCAAGGTTATTTTACTTCGTCGGCCTTTAAGATACTTTACCTTTTAGCTGATATATAGATACTTTATTAACATATGTTAACATCGCTTACTGTTCATCTGAACTTTCTTAAGTAGGAAAATCTAACTTTGAAGGCTAGTAGCTTAGCTAGTCAACTTTAATTTTATTTTTTAATGTGTTAGTCTGCTTCTTAGAAAACAATCAAAATATTATCTCTAGTAAACAAATATACAAAATGAATTTGTTTTAAATTTGAAAAGTAGACTATAGTGTCCGTTTAAATACTATTGTTTTCTAGTGTTGTTTTTTTTAATACAATATTTGTTTGCAATTACTTTTTAATCCTTTTTTTTTTGTTGTTTTTTTTTTTTTAAACTAACCACTATCATTAACTTGTATTACCTTCCTTATACACTAATCAATTTAAAATAAAAAACACTATTTGGATTAGTTTCTATCATTTCAAGTCCGTTATTAATAGATATTTGGACACTATATAAATATATACATGTAATTATTTATCTATTTATATAACCGTTTTCTTCCTGTCCCCACAGCCCGACCCCAGGGGAACCAGAGCTCCGAGCTGGAAGCTGAGAACCCCGGCAGCTACCGGTACCGCGGCTACGTCACCAACGCCTTCCACCCCGGGCGCTACTTCCGCACGAACCACTCCTACCAACAGCGCCGGTGGCAAGCCTTCAACAGCACCCATCGCCCTGCCCCGACCAACCGCTCGGAAAATTTGGCCAACAAACCCAAACTCATCACCATCGTCCGTCACGGGCCCAAACCTCGAAACAATATTAAAATTTTGCTGAATAAACGATCGGTACAGTCTTACGAACAGCTAATCTCAGATATTTCCGAGGCGTTTAGTCAAAAGTCGAAAAACAATAAAGTTCAAAGGTTATTCGGAATCAGTGGGAAAGAAGTTCAAGGCGTTTCGGATTTCTTTCGAAATGATAACTTTTTCATCGCTTTGGGACCCGGGGATCCAGATTTATTAGATTCCGTAGTGTCTGATATTCTGAAAGAATTGTTCCCAGAAGGAAACGATGCGAAATTGTTACTGAAGGAATGGGAAAGATCGCAGAAACGGAAAAGAAAGGTCAGCCCGTCGGGGGCGGCTTTGAAACAGAACCAGGCAGTTGGTGCCAGGAATGAGATCCCCGCCACGGATCCGTTGGTCACGCAGGTGCCGGATAAGAAAGACAGTGGGTTCGATTCCAGCGATATCAGTACTCACCGTTCGGAACCAGGCGAGGCGGTGATGGCTGGGCAAAGTGAGGCGACGGTACCTGGACACAAGAGACTGCATCGGCCGAAGAGAAAAATCGGAAAAGAAAACGAAACGGAGAAAGATTTTGATGCGAATTTCGAGCACGGTGAATCGACAATGCCTTCGCATGGGTATTATATGCTTAAGAGGATGGAGAAAGAGAGAATGAGGCTGGTGAATGAGGAGAGGGAGAGGTTTAGGAAAAGACGTTTAAAAATGGTGGAATCGGAGAGACGGGCTAGAGAGGAGGAAAGGAGGAAGAGGGGACTTATCCCGCAGAAAGTGAGCGAAGGTCCGTTTAAAAAAGCGGAAGTTGTTGTTAAAGATGATCAGGAAGTGGTTGATAAGAAAGCTGAAGATGAAATGTTGAAGGAGAAGGCGGAGTTGGAGAGGAAAGAGCAAAGAGAAGCAGCGGAGAGAGCGGCGAGAGAAAGGATGGCTCAAGCTGAGAAGGCGGAGAAAGAGAATCAGGAGAAGTTGAAACTTGAAAAAGAAAAATTCGAAGCGGCGCGATTAGAGAGTGAAAGAAGAGAGAAAGTAAAGGCGGAAAAGGAGAAGAAAAAGCAAGAAAAGTTACAAAGTGTCGAGCGGAAAGTTGAAGAAGAACCTAACACAAAAGATCAAGAAAGTAATGTTGAAGAGACACAAAATGTGCCGAAAAGTAACGAGGTCGTGAACGGCACTGTGGAAGTTCTAAACACAAACTCAGACACTGTAGAAAACCAGCCTGACCCAGTTAATGTACCAGCAGAGGAACCGGAAGTACCCGACAGCAACAACAATAACAAAAACCCCAAAGAAAAACGTAAACAAGACCGCGAGGATAAACAACAACGGAAACGAGTCAAAACTCGAATCGTGCGGAAAACGAAAGAAGAACGCCAAGTCGGCTCCGACGATTACATCACGCAGCGCTACGACCTGGGACGTAAACTAGGCGACGGTAATTTCGCCATCGTTCGGTTATCTCGCAATAAAGAAACCGGGCAGGAGGTGGCGATTAAAGTGATTGACAAGTCGAAGCTGAAAGGCAAGGATCAGATGGTGGAGAACGAGATCGACATCATGAAAGACTGCAGCCAGCCCAACATAGTGCGTCTGTACGAGGAGTTTGAGACGATAGAACGGATATACCTGGTCATGGAGCTTGTCAAGGTGGGTTACTGTTATTTTTTGAGTATGTTTAAACCATCTTTTGATGTTGATGTATATGTTCAAATTGTCATTGAGCAACTAGACTTAGGGGTCATCCATTTATGACGTCCACACATTTTTGGGATTTTGGACCCCCCTCCCCCGTCCACAAAAATCCACTTTTTTTCCTTATACACAAAAGTCGGTTTTTTTACACACACCCCCCCCCCCCCCCACGTGTGGACGTCATAAATGGATGACCCCTTACTTCATCATTCTACTCATTCTACTTATTCATTACCCTCTCCTCTGCATTCACTACTCTTCATCCCTCTCTCATTTTATTTCCTGCACTCAGTTCCACTCCCTTTTGTTCTTCACTCTCTCCCTCCATCTCCGCAGTCACCCCACGTCATCTCTCTTCACTTACTCCAATCACCACATTCTCTCACTCCATTCACTTTCTCCACATCTCTCTCAGCACTTACCCCTTCCGCTCCCTCCCTCCCTATACTCCCTCATTTCACTCACTCTTACCATCCATTTTCTTCACTCACTCAATCGCACACAGACACACATACATACTTGAAGACATAGATACACATGAAGACATAGACATAGACACACACCAACACAGACACACACCAACATATAGTCACAAGCAAAAACACATAGACACACGCACATACATATAGAACCACGTACACATACACATAAACACACACACACATGTAAACACACACCAACACATATACCTACTCACCAACACATAGACACACAGACACATACACAAACACACGGACACACCGCCACAGACAAGCACAAACACATATACTCAAACACACAAACACACAGACACAGACACACACATAAAATCATATACACACAAACACACAGACACACAAACACAGACACACAAACACAGACACACAAACACAGACACACAAATACAGACACAAACACATATACTCACAAACACACAGACACACATATATTCTTTCTGTTCTTTTGGTGTTCGCTAATAAGCTCAGACAGCTTTAAACCGACACCAAAAAAACGCACACTTTCTCATCCTGTAAAACAAATCAACAAAGTAAAGAGAAAAATCCTATGCATTGAGCAACTTTCTCAATGACGTCAGCTCATTAAAAATTAACGCCTTGCGTGACATAATCACAAAAATGCTGACCTTCTGCGTTTGTTTTGCTAGGTATTAGACTAGAGCAACTCCACTCGTACACGCCTTCAATTTTTTCTCAACCCTAGCTCAATCTTTAATTAGAGAATATAATTATATTTTCTAATATTTTATTTTAAAAAATAATGTTTGTTTTGTGTACCTAATACAGAAGAAAAAAAATAACTAGTAATGTGTTATTGTGCAATGGTTTGTGGCTAGAATTATTCCCCCTTATGGCCTTTCACAAAAGAAACCTTACATTATATATGACAGAGAGCGAGATAACTCAGTCGGTACTTCAGCCTTCGATTACCTCCCCCTTCCCCTCCCTATTTAACTACGACCAGGGGACAGTAAACACGACCAGTTGTGTATTGATCGATCGATCTGTCTCATTGATTGATTTCTATTCGTCTGCGATCCTTATAGACCTGCCTAAAGTGTGGCACATTCCTACAAGCATACCCTGACATTTTTGCTGAATTATTCTAGTATTGGTGCCACCTCTTTAGCACTGAATACTCTGAGTATATATATATATATATATATATATATATATATATATATATATATATATATATATATATATATATATATATATATATGTATGATGTGTATGAAATACTGTCGCCATCGACCACCTCCTCACCCCTTTCCCAACAAGCATATCTTTAGCTCCTAAAACTCCGCCCTACATCATTAACATACCAGCAATATAGGTCGTGCTTTGGGCGTAGGTCAAGACGCGGACAAATTATCTTTTTCGTCCTAATAATTAGTAATTATTGAGAATCTGAAGAAGTCACATGGGTCGTGACCGACTTGCTATTTTTAGCTCGTGCATCTTATTCTATTTTAAGTAACAGTCTAAAACTATAATTAGAATTAGTTCGACAAATATTTTTAAACGGATTTTAAATTTGTATCAAGCCCTCTGCGGGTCATATAGAAAGGACGTCAGAGTTTTAAAAATATCCCCTCTCCCCATCGTCATAAATATACCAGACCCCCCCCCTTCTTAAAATGATATTACACCAATGTTTACAATCTCTCTCGAAACTGCTAACTTTGTTTTTTTAACAGATTTATTTTTATAATATTGATTTAGCTCAATCAACATTGAGTGTATTGATTAATTTTTAATACAATTGTTTTTTTTTTAATTAAAGAAAATCTTAACATCGCGAAATAACTGGTGAATGTAACAATGTGTTATTTTTTTTAATGCCTTTCATCCTTAACAAACATTGTCACTTAGTCCAAACATTCTCTCCCCCGTGTGTGTAGCGAGATGGCGTCGTTTATTAACGATTGCTATAGGCCTATGGCTCATGTCTAGTGTATTTTTTTTGTGTGGGCTGTATAAACAGTATGAATCTATACATTTCATTTCATAGAATGGGCTTCTTTGCTTATGCTGAAGCCAGGGGCGTAGCGAGGGGGGGGGGGGGCGGGGGGTGCGGACCGCACCGGGTGACACCATTTAGGGGGGTGACACCAAGGCAAAAAATAGCAAAATATAGAGAGAAAAACTTGACGGGGGGGGGGTGCAAATCGAAAGTTTGAGGGGGTGGGGGTGCAAATCGAAAACTTGAGGGGGGGGGTGCAAATCGAAAACTTGAAAGTTTGTCCCCCTCTAGGGGGGGGGGGTGACACCATTAAGTGCCGCACCGGGTGACACCCGACCTCGCTACGCCACTGGCTGAAGCTACACAGCTTTAAAATTTCTAACATATGTTGAGTTTACTTTATCTAACAATAAAAGGTTTCATTTAACTTAATGCCATTGACTATTTATTTATTCCTTGTTTAAAATATCACCAACACAGGGAGGCGACTTGTTCGATGCCATTACTCAGAGTGTCAAATTTGGGGAGATGGAGTCCGCCATGATGGTGAGGGATGTGTGTAACGCCCTCTTTTATCTGCACTCCAGGAGCATAGTTCACAGGGACCTCAAGCCAGAGAATCTGCTGGTAGGTTCACAGTGAATAGTGCTTACTACATTTTATATTTATATAGATAGGTTCACAGTGAATAGTGCTTGATATCTGGGGGCCTATAATTATTTTATGATTATATAGATAAGCTCACAGTAAAAAGATGTTGAGAAATGCAGTGAATAGTGCTTGATGCATATATTTATATAGATAGCTTTACAATGAATAGTGCTTGATACATATATTTATAAAGATAGGTTCAGGGTGAATTTTGCTTGATACATATATTTATATAGATAGGTTCACAGTCAATAGTGCTTGATGCCTAGAGGCCTAAAATTATTTAATAATTACACACTGAAAAAGGGGTTGAGAAATGCAGTGAATAGTGGTTTAGAAATATATTGATAGGCTCACAGTGATCCGCTCACTGTTTGATAAATATACTGACTGTTCACATAGAATAGGTTTTGATAACTAGGACTATATTGATAGGTTCTCATGGAATGGTGTTTAAGAAATATAATGATAGATACATAGTTATTAGTGTTTCAGAAGTAAATAGAAATCTATTTTGACAATTATTTTGGCTAGCTAACATTATAGAGAACAATTATTTGTGAATCATATTTAGTTCAAAATATAAAAAAAAGAAACATTGAATTTGCATTATTTTATTTAATACATCCTCAATAATGCTTGAATACATTCTAGTATAATAATTAAAAAAAAAAAACTTGTGACACAAGTTAACGATTTAAAAAAAAACAACAAAAAACAAAACAAAACAACTTATGACACAGGTTAATGATTTAAAAAAAAATATCTATCTACCTGCAGGTACACAGAAACAAAGATGGAACAATCACTTTAAAACTTGCAGACTTTGGGCTGGCTATGGAGGTGAAAGAACTTATCTACACAGTGTGTGGCACACCCACATATGTGGCACCTGAGATTCTGACAGAAATAGGTAACATATAGCCTACTCATATTATTATGTTACACCAAAATTGTTAAAGAAATCGGTTATAAATACCTGCATATGTGGCACAGTAGGCTTACAGAAATAGGTAGAAATAATCTAATGCATTTCAAAGGGGGTGTTAAGATGGGTTAAAATCTCTTTCGTTCGGGACCCTCAAATAGACAACTGTCTCAAGTAAATCAATAGTGATTATGAAACCACATTTTTACTTCTTAACCCCCCACCCCCCTCTTTCCCCCTTCCTGCCAGAAAACAAAAAAATTGTGTTTTAAAAGTACTAGTCTTAACAAATTTAGATAAAGTTACAATTTTAAAATTAGGTATGGTTCGATATATAGTTTTGTTTGTTTTATAATTGCAGGCTATAGTTTGGAGGTGGACATGTGGGCAGTTGGTGTCATCACCTACATCCTACTGTGTGGGTTTCCACCCTTCCGGTCCCCAGACAGAAACCAATCAGAACTTTTTGAATTCATCAAAGCTGGAGAGTACCAGTTCCTGTCTCCATATTGGGACAACACATCCAGAAGTAGGTCACATACTCAGAGAAAATTATTTTACTGCTCATAATTCTCTCTTTTCTAACCTCTAGTAAAAAATAATTTTAAAAATTTGGTATAGATGTATTTTTTATTTAATTTAATTTAAAAAAAAATATATTTCAGTATAGGCCATAGGCTTTTATATATAGTTCAAGATTAATTAAAATTAATCAAGTGGGCGTAAATATTATCTATGAGAAAATAAACTATTGGAAACTTCATTGTAATTTTAAAAAAAAGAAAAGACTTATCTTACAAACCAATATATACAAAAAATTATTATATAATGGAACTTTCAAAAAAAAAATTGAGTTGTTAAAATAATTCTTTGTTTTTCATCTATTCTGGACTATAAACAGAGTTAAAATCTTAAGTATAAAATTAAGTGTTGCATCACAGTTAAATAAAGTATTTGTTTCTTTTCCAGGTGCCAAAGATTTAATCAGCAGACTGTTAATTGTGGATAGAAGAAAGCGCTACACATCAGTGGATGTGCTGTGTCATAGGTGGGTTGTCTGCAATGGACAGACAGACATCATAGCCAACCGGGCAGCAACAATTGAGGTCGCTTGCAAAGAAGTACGAAAAGAATTGGAAGTTCAGTCGAAGGTTCATTACGAAAATTACCAGAAATTAAAAGAAAAGAAGAAAAGAGACAGGGAAAAGATAGAAGAATAAATATGAGTTTTTATGAAATAAATTTGTTTTGATTTCTATTGTGATAAAGGATATTTTAAGTAAACATAAGTTAGTATGTAAACTTTAATAGATTGTTATAAATGTAAAATTTGTGTGACATTGTTGCATAAGACTATGTCTATCTGAATAAATTAAGTATTACTCCTCTATTTAAAAAACAATTCATATTGTGTTATATCCTATATTTTAATAGGTTACTAACTATGAAAGTATATTTCTTTTTACTAAAATCCACATTATTGAACACCTTGTTTTGTAGTAGGTCTGCTATTGATGATTTAACAGACTTTTTATGGCTACTATAACTTGGTATTTCTAAAGTGTTTTGATTTTCTACTGCACATAGGTCTGCATTAATTCTGTGATATCTACATAACTTTTGTAAATTGTTATCTTGCTAAATATTAATGTCAAAACAGCTTTAATGGTTAAATAAGCTAGATTGTGATATTTCAATTATAAATATTTTTTTTAAAATATAGCAAAAATGCTTCATGGATTCTTTATTGTTTCATTTGGCAAAATTTTTGTTTACACAATAAAAATAACTGCATTTGTTTAAGAAAGCCTCTAGAAATTTCAAAATAATAAATCAATAAAAAAGCTTAATTCAGAAACTGTACATTACAACATTACAACATTATAGATGGGTGAAATATACCTCTATTGTGTTTCAACTTAGGTGAAAAAAAATATAATACCATCTAGTTGATCTTGTTTTAGATTACTGGTATAATATTAAAATAATTATTACTATTGAACTATTAGGTCAATTATCTCCCAGTTAACATTGTTGTTTCCATGTTTTATATACCAACAGAACGAAACCATCAATTTGGATTTTTTGTATTAATTTCACTACCAAAGGTATTTTTTTTTCAACGCTGTCAAATTTATTTTCCAAGACAAACAAAAATATCTTAAAATTTAACAGATTTAGCAAATAAAGTAGCAAAAACTTGGATACTTTTACTTATCCTAAGCACTTTTGTCATTGTACAAATTGGTTAACTTTTTAATTAACTCTTTGAATCATCTGTGATATCCTTGTATATAGATTACATGGCAGTATTGGATTTCTGTCTCAAACTTGTCAGTTTCCTCTTGGCCAGTGCTGACTTTGAACAAAAATATTTCTTCTTTTACCTGGTGTTACTCTTTAGGCCAAAAATATTCTTGTTACAATTGTTTAATATGTTGAGAGTTATGTGAATTTATGAAATGCAAAATTACACACACCACTTGTATATTTTTAAAAATTGTTGGAGGAATTTATAAGATCAAGCTATAAATTTTTTGTTAGCTTTGTGCACCATTTTTAAAAATGCATAAAGCTAAAATGTTTGTGTATGTGACTAAGTCTTCCCTCATATTAGTGTACACCCCTCTCAACTCAACTTTCCCATTAAACATCCCACACACAAGTATATACAGCCCACACCCCAACATATAGATCTACCACACACACTACTTACGCCCCATTTCATATCCCATAAAATCCTACCTACACTCCAACAAACATTCACTACCCCAACATAAACATAACACACACCAACATGTACTGCACACACTCTATTTAACTTAAATAATTATACCCACTGCACACACCACTCGCTGTGTAGACCTAATTATGTGTATGATACAGGACCATATACTAGCCTCATCCGTTTTCTTTTTCAGAGTAAACTCATTTACATAATATCCTCATTTTTTATCAAAATTAGTAACTTCATTACCATTTTTATGTGTGTACTTCATAAATTGTACAACCAAAACAAGCAGTTTTACCTTCATCAGTGTCTTGTCACCTATACCAACATGTAGAAATTATTTATAGCAGTAACCATGACAACCTTGACATCCCCATAATCTGCTACTGTAGGTTTTATTATTAATTGTAAATTTGGGCAAATTTAATTCCACTCCCCCATCCAATAAATTGTGTACTTTCTGTATTGTTTTCAAAGAGGTTTTAAAAGTTTATAAATGTATATAGTAAAGATGTTTATAATTCCATTCTTAACATGGATGTTATTGAGATACTTTTCCTTGTTTATTATTACATATTTATTTATTTATTGTTGATTATTAACTCACACTTGTATCATACACAACTTTATGACTTGGAAAAGGTGTGTTTACTAAGCAAATGTTCACTGATGTGTAGAAAAAAGAAATGATACACTTATAAAAATTACGCCAAAAAAAAAGTATGTTTTTTTTTACACAGGCTACACCAGAAAATACTGACCAAGGTGTAGCGTTCTTTAATAGGAAATGTAGTATTTGCTTAAAATTAAAAAGGGATTATATGACTTAAGTCATCTCCAGTGCTGACTTGATTTGTGTGTGGGATTAAATTCTGAGTGAATATGTTCAGTAGGTATCTAAGTTTGTTTTATTCTACAGTGGTACTGCTTGCCTTTGAGCATTTTTAAAGTTTCACATAATTTGAGTACTTAAAAATATATGAAATTCAGAAGTTACATATCTTGTAATGTTATAGAAATGTATTTTATTTCAATCCAAAAGTATAGCTACTTGTTGTTGAAGATATGACTCCGTCCAAATATATCTTTTCATCTTAAAATGTATTAATTAAATGTTTGAACATGTTTCTTGAAACATAGTTTATCATTTCAATAAACTAGTTGAAGTTCTGAAATAGGATATTATTGTTCATTTGTTGTATGGTTAGACATGTTATTTTGATCTTCATGACAATTTTTTTAGCAAAATATTATGTAAACGAGAAAAATGGCCCGTTGAGGAAGGGTACAACGGGCGCTAGGTTGATAGTGCTGTCTATTTTCTTGGTACTTTAATTTATACAAAATATAGTCATAGGCATATCCCTAAACCATGCACTAATCTCATTCATGACAAAAGTCGCATTTAGAGTTTCTTTCAGGCTATTCTACTTGGGAGGAGGGGGCTTCGCCCCCCCCCCCCCCCCCCCCACACACACACACTCCAAAACATGTCTACCGTCCCATTCAACAAAATATAATTATATACTTTTTCCAGTGTCCGCCCCCTCCCAGAAAATTCTACCCCCACCCCGAAAATTTCAAGTTCCCCCACCCCTCTCAAGGGGAGGAAAAATTCTGAAGAATTGCATTAAAGAAATTGCAAGAAAACCACTTTTTAGATTAGACACATTAATTAGGCGGTAATTGTATTATAGAGTATCGATGAAGAGATTTCTTTTGAGTTGGGGAGGGGGGGGGGGGGGGGGGCTTAGACGTTCTTATGCGGGGTGGGTGGGGCTTCGTCCCTACCCGAAGAATTGTATGAAAGAAACTCTTCACGCAAACCATTTAGATTAGACAACATTTCCTTTTTATTCAATGTTTACGCCAGAATCAATGACGTCATATTGCTGTGTGCACTCTCCGGCTTGATATTATTTTCTACTATATGACATCATACTTCGTTTTCGTTTAACTATGCATGTTTTTAATTTGCTTATGTTTTCTCTAGAGCATTCTTGTCAGACAGATAGATAGATAGATAGATAGATAGATAGATAGATAGATACACAGACAGCGAAACTATTATTATAGATGTGCCACAAATAGGACATTATTGCCCACTTTATGGACACATTTTCCATTATCAGCTTTAATGTGCCCTTATTAGGGGAAAAATTTAAAAAAAAATGAATACATTTGCCACAGTTTAGGCAATAAATTAAAACGAATGTGCCACATTGAGGGCAAATGTTCCAATATCTGAAGAAATTTGCCAGTTTGGGCATTAAATTAAAATGAATGTGACAAATTAATGTCAAAAGTTCCAATATCTAATTACATTTCTACCACTAAGCATGACCTCCCCCCTCTCAAAATAAAAATAACTGAGCACCACTTATGTATCACAAAACATCTTGGTTTATTCACCTTTACATTAAACCAAGCCTAAGAAAAATCATAAACATCTTGGTGAAGGAATAAATCAAATAAATGGCTAGAACAATCATAAGAAGGTGAGCACACAAGATATGGGACTAGAACATACTGATCCACCATAGATCCTAACACTTGAGACTGATAAAATGCATACTGATAAACATACTGATAAAATAAGGTAAGGGGAGATTCCTTGATTGCTTTCAATCAACACACATCAGTAAAACTTTTTTTCTTATCCAAAATTTTACAAATGAAAATTATCTAAGGCTTTGCAACAAAATTTTAGCTATTCAATACAACTAGATAACCTATAAATAACATTTATAATTAAATTTTATTTTCATTAAAAAGATACCACCTAATTAGATTTTAAGGTTTAATTAAATCTAAATATGAAATGATATTATTATAATTTTCAATAAAAGAAAATAACTGATGTAAATGAATGAAAAAAAAGAGTTCCAAATAAATACAAAATATACATGTCTAGATAAAAACAAACACATCGAAATAGATTTAAAATCTTTATGGTACTCTTTAGAAAAACCCTTACATTTAAAATTGTCTACCATGTAATAAACTTGAGCTATTCTCACAACAAAGAAACAGTGACACCTACATCAATCAGTCACCCAGCTATGCCAAGACTACGCTACTCTCAAGGTAAATAAATAAGGCACATCACTCATACCTATTCACTCAACTTCAAACTAGTCTTACAACCAAAATGATTTTTAAAACAAAAACTTAAATTTTTAAGTAAAAATTTTAAATGGGTCTATTTTGTATGCTTTGAGCACATTGCAGAAGGATCTTTGCATCAAGTGAAGTAGAATTCACATGTTTCTATGACCTCGACATAATAGGTGAAGGTGTGGTCAGCATTATGCACAGCCACCTTTGCTTTCCCTAATGTGAGTCAGATACACACAAAGCTGGGTGCATTTAGGACATTATACAGACTTGAATCCGGATTTGAACTCAAAGACTTTAGGCGTAGCCATTGTATGATCTACCATTTGACAACGCTGCCCCACAAATTAAAAATATGTTTTTTTATAAGGTCCTGTGGGAAAACCAGAGGCATTTAATCTATCAAGAAAAAAAAAGATTTTGGCCAAGTTAAGAATTATACAATGGAAAACTACAATTAACTGTTTCTATATAACTCAGTCAATATAAATGTAGCTGTGGACTACATCAGAAGTATCAAGAATCAAACTATGACATTATCATGGCAATGTTTTGCTGCATTACAACTAATAAAACTTAATTAACCGAAGATTAAATGGGAACATTGAAAAAAAAAAGAACTTACAGATAAAAGGACCATTAAATTACCACTAGCTAAATCTAGCATTCAAAATGTTCACCACACAGAGAAAACCAAAAAACATTATCCACTCATAATCAACAAATATAGAAGTGTGAGCTACTACCATTAATTGATAGACAACAGGTACATGTGATAACTAATATCATAAAAATATACAAGAAATTACATCTACTTCTCCAACATGTAGATGAATATAGTTCCTAGACCAGTAGTTCTTAACCTTTTTGGAGGTACAGAGCCCTAACAGTTTCCCATGTGCATTCACCAAGCACTTTCAATAGTTCTATCATCCACACCGAGAAAATCCGATCGTGAATTATATGACTCAGGTGTGTGACTTGAACTCCGCTGAACCCCTGAGGCTGACTCACTGAACCCCAGGGGTTTGATCGAACCCTGGTTAAGAACCACTGTCCTAGACAAAGAACTCAATGGACCAACAGACATAACTTAAAGAACAAAACATAATAATTTTCTTTTAACTGTTATATAATAAAAATCATTTCTACCTTCACAAACAGCACATCCTTCCCTTCTTGCACAATAAAACCATTTTCTTTCACACATAGTTATACAATAAAATAATATCTTCCTCCATATTAGTACAATAAATCTGTATACATTAAAAATTGTACAATCGGATGGACATCTATATTAAAAATAAAGTGTTGAAAAAATCTTTAAGACAGAATGAAACATCACAACTAACTAAAACTATGATGTTGTTCTAGTAATTCTTTAATTTAATTTAATTAAGTGATTTAAATTACCAGTCAATGAAGAGTACAACAAAATCACATAGTGAAAACATTACTATTTACATTGAGGAATTTTTTAAACATTAAAAATAAATCTTTCTCATTAAGTTCAAATTTAAACCACACATCCCAGATACTCGTAGCTGTGATTTTATTAGTTTTATGATATCAACGAGACTATTAAGCTGTTCCATAAGGACGTCAAATTTTGCAAAAGTGAGAACTAATTTTCTGACTTACACTTAAAAAGAAAACCACTGTTAATACAGTAAACCAACAATTTAAGTAGATACATTTGAAATGACAACATTGGACTAAATTCCAAATTAACAAAGTTACAAAATTTTCTCACAAGATTATACATGCATTAAATAATTTCCCTTCATACACCATGAAATGTATTATTTGTTGTTAAGTAGTGTTAATATAAATTAAACTAGATTTCAAAATAAATCTTATTTGCTGTTTTTTTTTATATTTAATTGTCTTTGGCAATAATTGGATTTTTTCAAGACTAAATTTTCATATTGTAGATCTGGTTTAGACATCTCTTCCAGCTAGCTGGAAAAAGGAATATGTGGTCAGACAGATGCAAAACTGGCTCTAGTTTCCTAGACCTGGGTCAGCCATCTGTTAGAGCTAAGTGGACATGCATGTTCTGCCCTGTGCATACACACTCTACCACTTAACCATATCATCCCATCTTTTGTCAATTAATAAAACAATTATCTCCCATTTAACAAGTATCTCCCATTTAAATACTTAATCTCATTACAATATTGATAAACTTAAAATTAAATCTGTAATCTATAATTGCAGCACTTATCTGTGATTTATAAAGCAATAATAATATCACATTACATACAATTTATCTCATAGATGGATTGTAATACTTAAAAGGAAAAACAGATGTCTCCAAATGAAGTGTTCATAAATCTTCACAATTTATCTGCATGAATTAATGTAAGCACTATAGGTATCACAAAACTGAAACCATGTGAAATCTAATAAACAGTGGATATATACACATAAGTTATCCAGCTAGGTATGTACAAATAAGGTGTCTGGCTAGTCTCACTAAATTGACAACTTTTACAAACAATTAGAAAAAAATAATAAACATTGCATCAAGGCTTTTTTTTAGCATGTAGACCTAACTTTATAAAACAAACTGGAAAATTTTAAAATTTTTGACTGCAATTTTAAAACAACCCAGTTAAAGAGACTAGTTGTATTCAGTAAAATATTGCACTTTAAGTTTTATATATGTTCCTGACAAGCAAACACAGGTCAACATTTTCACTTTTAACCAAATTTATTCACCTGTACCTAGACTACTTGTCACAACGACAGGCAAAAAAATCTTTAGCCTGACTTAGCTGAAACTAAATGGTGTGTCAACAGTTGATATCATACCCACAGGTAAACAGCTGGACTTAGCTAAAGGGCTTAACAGTTTCAGCTGAGTAGTGTTTTACACTACATATCCAACATGCAAGTAAACAGCTGGACTTAGCTAAAGGCCTTAACAGTTTCAGCTGACTAGTGTTTTACACTACATATCCAACATACAGGTAAACAGCTAAACTTAGCTAAAGGCCTGTAACAGTTTCTACTAAATTGTGTCTACACTACATGTCAAACATGCAAGTAAACAGCTGAACTTCGCTATAGGCCTGTAACAGTTTCCACTAAATTGTGTCTACACTACCCATCCAAACTGTATCTCTGAAGGCCTGTATCAATCAGGCCTTGAAATCAACCAGGCCTTGACAGTAACCCTATGACAAGAAAAATGTTGGACAGTGTGATAAATATAAAAAAAATTAATGGAATATTTCAGAACATTTTATCTGCTGAACACTCTTGGAATGATGCCAGGATTGTTGAACATTCTTGGAATTATGCCAGAACTATTACACAGTATGAGAATAACCACATGGGTATGTACACCATAAATATCCAAGCAGAACTGGAGTCTTTCAGCAAATGGCAGTTGTAGAAATGATAGAAAAAGATAAATCTATTATCTCACTACATTTTACTGAAGCAGTCTTTTGCACTGGTCCAAATGGCTATACCCTAAAATAAATAAAAAAAACGATTATTATTTACAAAATCAAAAAATTAATATACATATAAGATCATGAAGAACTCAAGCATACTTTTCATGAAAATTCTAGGCTATAATCAAAGTTCCCTTTTCAAACCTTTATGGGACGGAGTGGTCTAGCGGTAGAGAGCTGGACTGCTAACCCGTTAGTCTCGAATTCGAATCCGGGTTCAAGTCAGTAGACGATCCCTGAGTCCACCCAACTCTGATGGGTACCTAACTCACGTTAGGGAAAGTAAAGGCGGCTGGGCATAGTGCCGACCACACTATCTCTTCATATGCCGAGGTCACAGAAACAAGTGAACTCTACTTCACTTGTCCCAAGGACCGTCAGGTTTGAAATGGAACTTACTTTACTTTCAAACCTGATGGTCTTTGTGGTAAGTGTAGGTATAGTGAGGTCAGCACTATGTACAGACACCTTTACTTTTCCTAATGTGAGTTAGGTACCCATCAAAGCTCGCAGGTATCAGGGACGTTGTACTGACTTGAACCAGGACTCTAACTCAAAACTATGAGGATACCGCTAGGCCAAGCAGCACCATAAATATGGTAAAACATACAAATTTATGTTCAATCAGTAGAGAAAAGCTGGACAAACCTTCTTGCACTGTTTAATCTGCATGACAGCATAGTTAGTGAATATCTCCTGCAGATCTTTAGTCTTTTGTCTCTGGAACCTGTCTATATCACGGAGGGCTTGTTCTATAAATAACCTGTGCATGCAAATACAACAGAAATTATAACTAAAGGGGGGAATTTTTTCTTTCTGCACAGATTAACAAAGAATAACCATAAGTAATATGTGGCATAATGTTACACGTCAAGTGCTTGAGTGGAACCCCCAGGGAAAGCGGAAGAGAGGGCGCCCAAGACAGACCTGGAGGCGGAGTCTTCTTGAAGAATTGAAGCCAATAGGGATGTCTTGGGAGATGTCAAAATTAATAGCCGGGGATAGGAAGAAATGGAAGGAAATGGTGGAGGCCCTTTGTTCCATAAGGAGCAAAGAGGACTAAGTCAATATGTGGCATAATAAAAAATCTTTGCAAAACTTGTGAGTGAATAATTAGTGTATAAAACTAATTAATTTGTATTTTAGCATTTTTGATTTCAGATTTTGGTTGCTAATTGTTTCATTGTGGTTATTTTGGGGAACAATTGGAGAAATGTCATAAATTTTGTATGCTCTTCATAGCAGTAAGAATATGTATTATACAGCTAAAGATGATGCTGTTTTCATAACATTTGACAGAACCACAACTAATGTCCAAACCTATTTCCAATACCAAGATCACCTTTTCAATAGATGCTTCTAAATTAATTTTTGTGAGATTTCGCTAAGGAGAGGAACACGCGTTCACACTTGCGACATAAATACTATAGGCCTACATGTCTAGAAAAACAAACTCTCAACAAGTGAAAGTTATATATATATATATCACAGAGCATGTATACTTACTTGCTGCAAGTTATTTTTTTTTCTAGACATGTATAGTACACATGTTGCAAGTGTAAATGCGGTGTAAGCTTGTAACTCCAAAACTTACTCCTACATTATCTGATCTTGGTAGTGATACTTAGCTCTAGATCTAAAAGTTAAGACACAAGACTCACTCGGATTCTTCCTGAACTTTCTTCAGCTCCATCTCAGCCGAGATAATTTGTTCCTCCAGTTGTTTGAGTTTGACCTCTCTCTGTTCTGGTGTTTCACTGCCAAAGATTTTACTCTTCATTCCACTCAGGGAAAACCCACTTTTGGCTTGGTTGTTGGCCTGACACAAAACCACAAAATTAAACATTTGGGGACAGAAAACCACATAATTTAACATATACATGAGTTTTCAATACCTACGCAAACACATGTATCCATAAGGGCAAATTATGAACACATTAAGTTTTTTAGAAATACAAAATTCATGAAACAATCTTAACTAAAACTTAAGAATTATCTTTAAAGAAATTGAAAGTGCAGTTGTCCAAGTGGAACTTGAGTGAATTTGATCTTATGACATGCGGTTTTAATAAAGTTATAAGGAATAAAATACTTAATGTGTGGTTTGAAAAATAATTGCAGATGAACTGGATGCTTTTCCCTGAAATATTGCTGTGAGTTACAAGATAAAGAAAGAAATTGATCTAACATCAATATTTGTTGCATGCCTAGCTGAGTAATATGAAAGTATAACATATACCAACAAATCATAATGTATTGTATACCTAAAAGCTATACCTAAAACCAAAGAGATGCTCAACCTTAGATTGTGTTAATAATGGATATTACATATACAAAAATTTAAGTATGGCAAATAAATAAAAGACAGCCATACTTTAGAAATATTATTTCCATTATTCTAACGTAAACAAATCTAGGATATTACTAGTGCCTAGGTGTTGCTCATAGTGACTTGAAAGAAATTGAACAGTTTAATTACATATTGTAGTTTTAAAGAGAGATGTTACATAAAAGTTAACTATCAGCTTCTTCTTAAGGAGAAGCAATTCCTGGCAGCCTTAAAATCATTTACTTATTCATGAAGATAGTTTATAAATCCCTATAATCTACAAAAATTTCTAGCCAAAACAACCACTGTAAAATCTAATTCAATAACAAGATTTTATAAAGATAACAAAAAAGTAACAATTTTACAAGATATGTGAAGAGGTTATGCTACAACAAAAATCTGTCTATATGCTCCCATATTTTGTCAAATCATATAAATTGAAAGTATTCATATTTCTACAAAATTGGGTTGGTAACTGTTACCAAAATACTTCTGGCACAAAAATGCAATATTTATATTTTCCACGAATTAAGGTAATCCGTGTGAATTAAAGAGATTCTGTAGATTTCTATAAGCTTGAGTTGAAACTAACCCAAAACTTTAAGCACAAAAATGCAATAATTATACTTTCCAAGTAATAAGGTGATCATAAAAACAGAAGGGAATAACATTTCTTAATCTCTACAAAATTGAGTTGAAAACTGGGCTCAAAGGTGATTATGAAAACAATAGGGAATAACATTTCTTCAATTTCCACAAAATTGAGTTGAAAACTGGGCTCAAATGTGATCATGAAAACAGAAGGGAATAACATTTCTTAAATTCTACAAAATTGTGTTGAAAACTTGGTCCAAGACTTGCAGCAGAGAAACATCAGTCCCTAACACGATGGCAATAGAAAGACGAGCTGTGCTTGGGTAGGCTGTAACAGAGTGCTAGCAACAAGACAACAATAAGCATGCAAACTGTGACACTACCTTTACCTCTTCCGACACAGGGCTCTCTGCCATCAGCTGTTTCTATTTATAGCAGCATGACAAAGAGAGACATGTCACAAATTTATTAGAACTCTTAACCCCCATACAAAATTACTTTTTTTAAAACAACACCACCAGTATTAGCACATTTTCAAACTATAATACAAATATTAGTATTTTTTTTTAAATAATGAAAAATTTTTTTTTTTACTTTTTAAGATAAAAACATAAATTACAAATTGATAAAATGTTACAATGTAGGTGAGGAAAAACAGAAGCAACATTTTTGACTGTGGTGTTCCAAACAATGAGAGATCTGAGAATTTTGTACACTCACCAAGGTCTCCTTTTGGCTTGATTTCATCATCAGGTTCTCTTCAGCTTTTTCTAGGTCATACTGAGCACTTTCATACCTCCTACACACAGCACTGTAACAATATTAGGTGGTTTTAAAAAATTCAGATATAATATTTTATCTGGTCCAAAGATAGGTAGGGTAAGCTTGTACTTGATTGAACAAAGGCTTTGCTACAAATGTATGCTTTACAAATACTAAACAAAGACCATTCTTTGATGTTATTAAGTCATTAAGGAGCACAATACACTGGAAAAGAAACTAGTCATAGGAACTGCTCTAAAACATGATATATTACACCACTGCCAAATTCGTCAATAAGAAATAACTGGAAAATTAAAACCATACTAATGTGACAGTGTGGCATAGGGGTAGGGGCTAGACTGCAAACCCAAAAGTCTGGAGTTTAAATCCAGGCTCAAGTCCCTGAGTCCATCCAGCTCTGATGGGTACCTAATTAACAAGGGGTAAAGTAAAGGTGGCTGGGCATACTGCTGGCCACACCTTCCCTTCATATGCCGAGGTCAAGAAATGCGAACTCTACTTCATTTGGCCAATGGACCGCTAGGTTTAAAGAGGATTCTTGAAAGCCATGCTCACCGGACAGAATCCCCAAAAGCATAATATTCCTTCAGTTGGTCAGCATACTGTTCTTCCTCCTCTAGCTGAGAATCAATGGTTGAAGCAAACCTGACAAAATAAAAGTATTTTAACATAATCCTGTTATATATAGCAAAGTAATGAATTGATTGTTAACTTTAGTATACTGATTATCATAAAGTTTGCTTGATTGGCCGACAGTACTATAACGATGAACCCAAGGTGTTTAATAATTTCACTATTGTTTTGCAGAGTCAAGGCTTTTAATCGTACAACTTTCTAAGTCATAATGTATCCTGAACTGCCATTTTATAGTGATTTCTTATTGCAATTCGTCACATTGTTGATTTAGAATTTTATCTTATTATTTTGGAACAAGCACTTGCCATTCATGTATAACTGTTTTGTTTCTGTTTTAAAAATGTATACAGTATATAGAAAAATATATGTAGGCTACTTTCATTTTCTATAAATAATTTACCAACAGGTGTGTATTTTTTCACAAGTGTAATGTTAAGCACATTTTCGTAACCAGATAAAAAAAAAACTCTGCTTAAAATAACAATTTTTTTATTATGATTTTAATATGTAGCCTAAATAATGGGCAGGTGTAAACAACCGGATAAACATGAGGTTTTTTACTGTGTGGTTAATTATAAAAAGCTCAAGGAAAAAATCAATTCCAACACAATGTGAAATTTATTCAAGATGGAGTTCTTTATCGTAGAAAAAAAATAAAATGATTTCAACATTAAAATTTAATCAAACTGTCCATACAGTTTGTTTAAGGAACTGTTTTGACTACTAATTGTATTACATATCCAACATAAAATCAAGGCTCTAAATTTACAAAGAATGATGAGCTCAGTTCAACTCACACATCCATGTAGTGGCTGGCACTCTGTAAATGTTCTGCTATCTCTTTCTCTATGGTGCTCCACTCATTGAACACCCTGGCGTAGTTACCATGGACTTTGTGGATCCCATACAGCTTATCACAGAGTCTCTGGGTTAAGTGGCAACAAGAAAAATTCATTTGAATGAACCAAGACAGCAGATATATTTGGGAAAACAGAATCTTCTTTCACAAAAACATGCAGAAGTTAAGTACAGTACTACTCACTGCACGGATTTTAAGAATATTTCCAATGTTGCTTTGTAGTTCTGTACAGTAATTTTTCAATTCTTCAAAGCGTCTATAAGGGAAAATAAATAATTTAATCAATGCATAGTAATGATAACATTACTCTTAATAAAAATAAAAAACACATGGTTTGAATGCTCATGTATAAATGTATCACGAATTTGTCACATTTATATAAAATTACAGTTCATTGAAATTCTTAAATTCTTTAATACCATGAATAATTAAAAATAACTATATGGTTAATAATGAAATATTAAATTTATTTACCTGGCAGACCATAAAATGCTACCCTTATAATATAATTATTTGATTTCATTACCTAATATTGCACTAACCGAAAAAATTTTAAACTGAAAATATTAAAGACTTACCTGTCTGATTTCTTCAAACGAAATTGTGCATTCAAAGATTTCAGCCTAGATTCTGCCTGTTGACCAACAATACAAAAACATAATTAAGATCAATAATCTAACTCAAACTTTCAACCAGCAGTGGTAAGCTTCCGATATAATTAAAATCAATACTTAAGTAATTGAATCTTTCAATATCTTTCAACCAGCAAATGGTAAGCTACTGACTAATAACTTTCCATGTACCTCGATCCATTCTTACCTTACTATAAAAATCTGTGGCATTTACTGTATCTCTCCATCCTTGTTCCTGTAGTGACAAAAATAAATTGTTTAACCAATTTTAAAAAAAAAACAACAAAGGAAAAGCTTTATTAATCTTAAATGAATTTACTACACAGAAGAAGTGAAACTATTTTTCATTAAAAAATGTCTTGATAAAAACTAACCTGCTGTAGAAACCCAATGAAAATTTTATCTTGACATAATTTTGGATGAGCAGCACACCTCAAAAGAAAGATCTAGAGAAGGGATGAATACATTATGCTATTAAAAGGTGAATTAAAGTATTGGATAAAGAAGTCCGCACAACTAATACAAGGCGAGTTAATAATAAAACATGCGAGTTTAAGTGGTTCCTTTATAATGAATATTGTTTAAAAATAGTTATTTACATATATTATATAATATTTCTTTTGTACTGTCTTTCAGAAGGAGAAAGCCACTTATTGCTAACAGTGAGGAACTTAAAAAATTCACCAACAGCTAAAACAGAGGTAGGGCAAGAAAAACTTTGAAATGCAGTGTGGAGAGTGACATATGGAAAATGGATTTCCACTGGTGACAGCTGGGAAAAAAAGACCAAGTAGCCTGGAAGATACTTGTTATTGGTCTATATGCCAGAGGGATAATTCGGTAACTAATACTAAAAAGGAAATATGAAACAAATAGAATCTACATATAAATGTTACTGGAAGTAGCAACCCTATGGTTTTCAATTCTTAGTTTGGAGTGCTAATACTACAATTAATTACTGGTCTGTGATAAAAATTAAAATGCCTATTTAAAAAAAAAATGCTTATTAAAGTTTAGTTTATCAAAAAATTCACAGAAAATAATCACCTCTAGGCCAGCTCTTCGTCTTTCAATAAAGTCTGGATCAAACCGGTCCATTGAGACATTTTGCCAGGCATAGGAAGCCTGAAATAAATATCAAACAACTGATGAATGTATGACTTGAAAAAATAAATACTTGGACTTGAGCATTAACTTTAATCTGGGAAATAGGATTAAAACATAAATGTATCATAAAAGAACATAATCGCCAAGGCTTAATGATGTAATATTATAATCAAAACATGTAATATTTAAAGATGGGGTCACCTTTTTCTCAGGTAGAGGTGGAACAATGACAGCTGGGAATGTCACGTCCAGGTAGTTACGCAGTAGCTCAAACTCACTGTATCGTCTCCATGCAGATGTGGCGCCTTCTCCATAACCCTGCATATTTTCATCTGTGACCCTAAACCAAAACAAGACAAACATGGATTAATGTTATGTTCATTAACTGAATAACATAAACATATTTTCTTTAAACCAGCTCCTCACCTTGTTTCTATAAGGTATACAACAAAAGTATCCTGCATCTTCATTGATGCAATGGTCTTTTTTTCTGGTTCTGTCACTGTGATTTCCATCCATTGCAGCAGATGCGTCTAAAAATGGATGATAAATATTCAAATAAGAAATGCAAAGAAATATGTTGTCTTCTTGATAAATAAAAGCACAATATTAAAGAACAGATGTGAAATTGATCTCAATGATGGTATTTGAGTGTATGGTTGTAAGTGCAATAATACATTAAAGTATTTACAGTACTGTCTGCTATAATATAGATGCTCAACTCACTGACAACCTATTTTAACTGCATAAATTCATACTGTCTGTAGACAAGTCTAACATATACTAGGAAGAACAACATCCCCTTCAAGTCTTTTTTAAAAACTTGTTTTTTTTTTTGCAAAACAATTAATTAAACTAGTCCAGTGTAATTCCGCCTGGGGGACAGTGTGCCTAGCTGTAGGTGCGTTAGACTGCTAACCTGAAAGTCTTGAGTTTGAATCAATTTTATTTGCACCATGGACTGTCATGTGCCTGATAGCATACATTGGTTTAGTTTATAAAAAGATTTAATCAGGCATTCATGATAATATTTGAAAACCTATTAGAATCTAATTAGTCGCTCGTAATAGTAATTGACTGATTATTCAATAAATTACAATTTAGGAACATATGTCTGCTCTTGATAAAGTTTCAGACTAATTATACACAGTGATACGGTATATTTGCTTATGTCCCAAGATGCTATATAGGAGCTTCTGGTTTTAGTTTCACTTTCATCCATAGGGGGAATCCTCAATGGGATAAATGGCATATCTCCAAGTCTCGCTGACTACTGCTTATTATAAAGAAATGTATCTATGCCAGACTTTTTTTTTTTATTAAATTTAAATGAAGACTTTGGGTTCTTCCATGGAGCATTCTTGATCAACACTATTTGGGATAAGCAAAACTTGAATCACCTTCTCTTATCAGCCATCTATCCGTTTACTCAAGTATACCCAATGAAAAAATCTATTTACTGAGAATTCTGCAATTTTTTTCAAAACTTAGCTCAGCTAATTTTAAGAAAAATCTCCTATTGGGAGGTACATCGTTAGAAATCTCTTTTCTTTCAGCTTTTTTTTTTTACTTGTTAAATATATTTTTGTAAAGAATAAAGTAAAATAAATAATTGGTTCTTTGCATTATTATTTAAACAGTGCAAACTAAACAATGATACACTTTACAGCATTAAAAATGAATCAATTCATTATTCAAAATAAATTTTCACGATGCGATAAAACAAACATGTGAAACCATAATAAACATGAAACTTCCATAGGCCATAGAGATCCAGGTATGCCACAAGTGCACTGTCACTTTTTACGATTTGCAACAGCAATCAAATGAATTCTTAGTTAGGCCCCTATCAATTTTATAATTTTAATTTATTCGAATGTCAATTTTTTTCAGGCCCTGTTCTAAGTCAGTTTGGGCCTTAAATTTTGTGTTTTGTGAACTTATATAAAGCACATACTTTACAATGATATAAATCATATTTTTTTAATAATTTTATTTAAAATTAAAGGGAATTTCTATACCAGTGTCTGATAATAAAAGCCTAAAAAGGGGGTGTTATGTTACTGGTAGTTAACTAAAATACACATGTCTTGCTAATATCAATACTAGCCCAATTCCTAACCCCAACCCTAGTCCTACGTTACGCCTAACCCTAATTTCTTACCATAAAACTAGATCTAGTCGAGATTACATTTCAATATTACCAACAGCCTACCACACATATCTGGCATCTGTATCTTCATCCTATAAGGGGGTAAAACTCCATTTTAGCATATTTTATTCTCCGCTTCTCGTTTACCTCCAGTTGAGCGTATTTTATTATAATAACCGAAACACACCAAAACATTAGGAAAACACGATGTATTTATTTGTATTGTATTTTTGTTTTAACAAATGAATAAAAACTACAAAGAGACTGACTGATATGCTTTGTTTGTTGGTTAAAAAAATAGAAATGCACAATTTGTACAAATAAGTGTTCCAATTTCAACTAAACTGAATAAAAGTATTAAAAGGCATAATAATGCTGCCAAAGGTGGGGCGGGGGGGGGGGGGGGGGGAGGAGGTGGAATTTGGTAATGTAGTGAGGGTGAGCGATGGCTTGGAGTGTTAGAGAAAGTGTGACAACTCGCGGTTGTCAGGCCTCTAAAATCTTAATAATATAAACATTATTAAGCCTAATATAAGTATCAATGAAGACCAGTGAAAATAATATTATAATTAGCCTAATTAAAATATATGAAATCAATAAGAATTAACCCTTTGAGCCCTGGCCTAATTTCTCCCATTTCCTGAGCTCCCAGGGCCAAACCAATTTTCACTTATCTGCTTCTAACTTTGCCTATAACTTTTGAACCGTTTGAGATAATCAGACCAAATTTGGTATCCAGACTCAGGATCAAACATCATAGCAGAAAGATTCTGAAATTCTTTATTTGTTTACAATGTATGAACAGAACCATGTATATAAAACGAACACGTAATTATTGTTTTGATAGAACATAGAAGAAACCAATTTACATTTAGTAATTGTTTTGTTATTATTGATACCTGGCCATACTAGTTCATCGCCAGAAGTCCACTTCTGTTTGATAACTTTCAAAACAATTATCACTGCCGGACCCGATGCAAAGAAAAACGTCGCATGTTTTGCACCAGTAAACAGTTTTTTTTTGGTTTGGCAAGTCTTTGTCCTTGACACCACGTGCATCAGAACGTACTTGAACAGTTTCATTGTCACTGTCAATTTCAATGTCAATGAGTTCAGTCTCAAATTCAACGTCACTATCAACATAATATAGACCAGGAATATTATCTTCTTCATAAGAATCAATAAGTACTTTATTGCCTGAGATGCAGTCATTCTACTTCTTTTGTTGATATTTCGGACATATATGCCTAATGTTGAAGCTGGTTTACCGGCCTGGCGGGCTCAAAGGGTTAAGACAAATTAATTAAGCTATAACTAATTTGCAAACAATAAATAATTAGGCCTTAAAAAGCACACAAAGACCAACACTCACTACTAATTCAAGGGATGAACACAAAATAACAGATCGTTGGGATTTAAGGGCTTTTAGAGACCTTCTAGTATAATCCAAATACCAGGTAAAATACCCATAATTAGGCTTAATTAGCCTAATTACGCTAGTGTCAAGTGAAAAGAAAACACAATTATATAAGCAGCGACAGAGGATACTACTGCACAGCTTCGGTATCAATAGCAATGGCGTCACTCACAAAAAAAAATTATTGTTTAAGTGACATGTTTGCGATTCTGTTTTCTCAAAATGAGTACAGTAAATTTACAATTTTAATTCAGAAATAGATCAATCAAATAATACCCTACCTAAGAGAGCAATTTTGGAACCTTAGAACCCGATATTTTAAGTTTTTAAGCAACTTAAACTTTACCCATGTTTACCTTTGACCTACATTGTCGGAAGCAAATTTTAATTTTTTTTCTGGCAAAAATAACTTTGTCGTCATCAGATAGCTTAAAATACGCAAAAAAATGCCATTTTTTTGCGTGATAATTATCTTTAAATTTAATGTTAAGTTGGTCTCTCAAACAAAGCAGAAAAAATCGCCCATCGTAGGCCAAGGTGTGGTAGCCATGTTGTTCTTAGCAACCAGCGACACTTTCAAGTTAGTGAGCATCACAATAATAAAGGCAATCTACTAGTTTTTCTTACTAAATCTAGAATTTACCCAAATTTCAAATTAAGCATGACTACTGACTGATAGACATCCATATTTAATCCATTTGGCACTAATTTTGAAGTTTTTAGTTCGTTTTAAACTAAATTACCTACTTAATTTAATATTTATTGACACTCACAAAAATGCACAACACACCTCTCCATAATAACTCTTATTACGCTTGAAGCTAAAGAAAACCACACATGCGGTTAGACTTTATAAGTGGCGATGTACCCATCACTAGTGATCATCAAATAGCGTTCACGTGGTTTAAAAAAATAAATTTGGTTGTCATTCAAAAGTCGTGTCTTATTTTAAAAAGTGCTTGCAATATTTGATTTATTTCTTCATATAATGATAAACCTAATAGTTATACAACCTCCAATTAATTTTTTGTACCCTCCGGGCTGATATTTTAGAAGTTCTATTAATTTTAATGAGACCGACTTTTAAATTTAGCCTTCATTCTCCAAAGCAAATTTTAAAATACTTTTCTGGCATATTTAGTCTAGCCACCTATAGCATGCTTTTATAACGTGAAAACTGCCATTTTACTCGTGGTAAACATTTTTAAAAGTAATTCTAAGAAGGTCTCTGGAACTAAGGCGAAAAATCGTCGGAAGTCATGCATCCGGTCCGTACGCCATATTGTTGTTAGCAACAGGCCACGCCACCGGGTTAGCGAGTAATACTACATTCTACCTATCACAGTGTCTAACAGTTAGATACCAAGCAGGCTTACAGACTTGACTAGATAGTAGATACACTGAACAGTGTCACTACAGTTGTTATACTGTTACAGTAGTACAGTTACTCGAGTCTAGGATCTAGATCTAGATACTAGATAGCTAGAATCTACGTCAGTGAAATAATAATATTTAAAAAAGGCCGATTCTAGCCGGAAAAAGGGTAATCTATCGTTTTGGGTACGTAAAATCGCCCGTGGCTATTAATGTACGAAAACGTTACCTCATTGTCAAGGCTTTAATAAAAGTTAATTGTCATATATTTGTGTCAAATATTATAGATACATGAATAATAAACCTAAATCAATGGCTAAATATATCGATATAGGCCAGAAATTAACTTTAAACAGCAGTGTCTGAGAGCAAGATTTGCTATATAAACAGCAGCCATTTGTAAAATAGAGTGGCTTCCCCCTGAATCTGCGCTATAAGCTTATAAAAATAAAACTTAAACAAGATGGCTGCTATAGTAAATGAGCATGGATGCATTTGTTGGAAACATCGCTAGTCTTCATTTATTACAGAAAAGTTTTAATTCAATTGTTTAAAAACGGGTACATTAGTCGATCTCCTTACCAAAACCGGAAGTCAGAACCTGACCCTGAAACGTCATGCTCTTTTAGTTTTCGCATTTTAAGTGTTTTTGGGGGGGTCCTATATACAAAAATGAAAAAACTGCTAATCTAGCAATATCTCATCACTATTTTAATGCGAAATGCTAAGGAAATGGATACTATGGCTTAAATGCCAGAAACATTTGCGAGATATGTAGTAATAATTAATACAAGCATTTCTTATGGAGCACTCTAATTAGGAACTGAACTGCAACGAAAAACGACCGACCACCGGGCATCAGCGCTCGACAGCTCCTAGATAAATATATATTTGAGATATTTACCATGATTAATTACAATGATGATGGTTCCCCTTTCCAAAATCCAATTCACCATAGAAATACCATGCCTCTGCTATTTTTAGTAACGTTACGTCATTGTTACGCTAGTTGTCAGATAGAAACAACTAATTTTTGTTTTTTGCGGAATGCACTGTTAAGTCTAGTATTTTAATTATAATTCAGTTGAAGCGTGTGTAGAAATTTTGGACATTATTATTGTATTAAAGTATTAGTAATTTTATAAGTATATTGATTTTTTTTCTTCACTGCAAGCCAAGTAGGCCGACTGTACTGTTAGTTTTATTGAACATAAAATCGTGACCGGTCGTAAACCTTTTAAATACTACGTGGCCTACCCGACTGCATAATTTATATGAAATTATATGTAGTTTTTAATTAGGCCTTAGTATTGTATTTTAAACAATGCTCATTCCGAGCCTTTTTTGTGCTAAATCTAATCAGGCCTACTGGCAATTTTTTTTTTATTTTTAGACTTGGTCAACCTCGTTAATGCTGTTGTGTTAGTTAAACATATAGGAATTGTGTGTAAAATTTACGCAGTTACTCAGTTACTACGTAATACGATATCAATAAATAAAGTAGTATTTATTTCCTTTTAGCAATCTATTGATACAAAATGTCTAATATTTTATTTTACAATACATCGTGGTGTGTGGCAGAGTAAACAGAACGGTGCGGTAGGTGACCTAGAATCTCCGAGTTCAAATCTGAAGTAAATCAGTTGTGCTTTATTTTATTGTTTCACATTGGAAATGCAACGAGCGGCTTTATTTTCTTTCTTTTTTAACAATATTTTTTTGATCGAAATAATATTTTATAAAATAATTATTCAAGATTTTCAAACATCGTCGCTCGCATCGCTCGCGAGATCGACTGCTTACATTTTCTTGTCTGCGCGAGAAAAATGTTGACACGGTCGAGGGTTCACCGTGAGTTCAGCAGGCCTACCATACATACGTCACAGCATTAACGATTGCTGTTAGAGATCGTCGGTGGGCAAACCCACCCCTCCCCTCATAAACCAAGCAAATTGTAAAACAACTTAGGGTCATTTTAAGTTCATGCAAACTTACAGGACTATAGATTTACTACGCATAGCTGGTAAAAAAAAAAAAAAAAAAAAAAAAAAAAAAAAAAAAAAAAAAAACTTCGCCTAACCTAATGCTACTACAGAAGAGAAAAATAATTATAGAGTATTTATTTTAAAGTTTTAAAAAAAGTTGATTTATCATCGTACCTAATAATGTATTGTCTTTACAGTTAGAATGCCTAGATCTAGATTTCTGTCAGATCTATTTTTAGTTTTGGATATTAATTTTATTATCATCTTCATGGGTATTGATTGTTCAATTCATCGTGGAAGGCCTAATGTCTTAAATTGTACATTATACATAGAATTTAAAATAAATATGTCTGATATTTCTTTAATAAACATAATGAATATAAAGTTTTATTTCCAACAAAATATTTTGGTTTTTTTTTGGTAACTAAAATACCCAATGTTGTCGTAATTGCTATGACATCATGCTACGAATGGAAAACACAAACCAACGTAACTTTCTGAGCTTTTTTGATGGCGAAAAAGAGTTTCGCATTTTAAGAAGTTAATTGGTCATTTTGTTTTTGTTTGTTTTCTTGGCCCCTAATTAAGCTAGACCATTAAATTTGGTCTCAAATTAACCAGTAAGTGATATAGTTTGTAATGATGTATCATAAGTGACAGACAATTTTAATTAAAAAATTTAATAAGAAAACCTAGGGTACATAAATGAAACAAGGAAACATTTTTGTATTTTAAAAAACATAAATCCTCCTCAAAATGTGAAATAATTAGGGTAAAGGAGGGCGTTAAGAGCCGTGTGGTATTAAGCCCCAATCAACACCCCACCCCCACAAAACCCCCAATAACACTGCTAATCTACTTCTGAGGTAACAACCACTGCTGTTCTTTGATAACAGAGAAGCAAAGGATTCATGTTATGTAATTTATGACCCACTTGGTCCAATAGGGAGAGGATGAGACAGGATTTAATCCCACTGCTCTTTCCCTAAAATTTCTCATCTCCATAAAACCATTTTGTGAACTTTTTTTCCAAATAGACATATCTTGGGAAACTTCACTTTGTAATAAACCAAATAAGTTTTTCAAACCCATTCTTTGTTCCTATATTAGAGCATTGGCTGTTGTACATTTTAACACTATTTTTATAGCTATGGCTAGAATAGTTTTATTTTGGTGAATTTTTTTTTGCACAGTGATTATTGGTGCCAAAACAAAATGGCCGACATTTGTCCCATTTTACCATGCTATAAAGTTTTTATCATTATCAGAGTAAAACTTGACTGATCATTACCATAATGGTTTTATTTGTTAGATAATAACTAAATCTTCATGAATACATTAATTTTGTTCACTAGCTTGCCTGTTTAGAAAAGTTATAACAGATACTGTTATGTGGCTCTTGAAACCCTATGTGCGGTTTCTCATTTATTAGACCACTGAATATGACACTGGTATAGGAATAGTTAACACAAAATGTATTAATTGTTAAACAGACTTGTGTCTAAATGATAGAAATACAATTCTAACCTGCTAAAAAGTAAAAATTCAGCCATCTGATGTTAGCAATGTAATTTTTAAAATGGTACTTGTACTTATTACCCCTAAGGGGCAATACAGCCGACTCAGCCCCCACCTGTTTCTAACCAACCATAAAACTTCAAATCTCTTTGTAGGTAACAGGAATAAATGTTCTTAGGTCTCAGCCAATCTGGGGTGGTATGTTATGTAATTTATGACCCTCATGGTCCAGAAGGGAAGTAAACAGACACATTAATACCACTGCTCCCCCCTTACAATTTCTTACCCCCATGATACCCAGCCCCCACCAGTTTCTGGCCCACCATAAAACTTCATCTCTTTGTAGGTAACATGGATTACAGTTACAGATCTCAGACAATCTGGGGTGGCATGTTATGTAATATATGACCTTCATGTTCTAGCAGGGTGGAGACCAAAGAGGAATGAGTACCACTGCTCTCCCCTCACAATTTCTCACCTCCATGATAGCCAGACCCCATCTGTATCAAACCCACCATAAAACTTCATCTCTTTGTAGGTAACATGGACTAAGTTCTTAGATCTCAGCCAACCAGAGATAGCATCTCCTTATGTAATGTATGGCCCTCAGGGTCCAGCAAGGAGAAAAAAGGGGAAACCAGTACCACTGCTCTCCCCTCACAATTTCTCACCCCCATGATACCCAGCCCCCACCTGTATCTAACCCACCATAAAACTTATCTCTTTGTAGGTAGCATGGACTTAGTTCTTAGATCTCAGCCAACCAGAGATAGCATCTCCTTATGTAATTTATGGCCCTCAGGGTCCAGCAAGGAGAACAAAGGGGAAACCAGTACCACTGCTCTCCCCTCAACATTTCTCACCTCCATGTAATGTTATGTAATGTATAGCACACATGGCTTATCAGGGGAAAGCATTAAGGCAGATTAGTTAGTACCACCCTTTTTACATACAAGAATGTTAACTCTGGACAGCTACACACTAGTATACTAGCTACACACTAGGCATACTAATGTGCCTACTGTAAACTACTAGACTAAGCCCTATGTACACCTGCAATTGTATCAATTGTAGACTGGGCCCATTGGGGCCTAGTGATAGCTAGTATCAGTTAAAGTGTGTGTACACAGCATTAACTATTTTGGGGTTAGAAATTAATTATTTTTATTGCCGAGTTAGTCTAAACTAGGAGATAATACTTATTGCCCCACTGCCCGGCTCCTTTCGCCCCAAATGCTGATTTTGGGGGTATGACAATAAATGTTCAATTAAACCCATTTAAAGTATATTTAATAGAATTTGTTATTATTTTTATATTGTGTAAGATATGTTAGAATAATTTTGCCATATTTTCAATACTAAAAAATTCTTAGATTAGTAGAAATCTTTAAAAATGTACAGGTGCTAAAAAGTGTGGCTCTTAACGCCCTCCTTTACCCTATTAAAACTTAAGGAGTCACCTGTTTTTCACATTACTAGTCGCGGGCGATTTTACGTACCCAAAACGATAGATTACCGGAAAAAGATATGCATGCGCAATGGAGGGAAACTACGACTTGCATTCTCGGCGATGTTTTCGATGGTAATGCGCATGCATGTGTTTACAACCGCTGAACCCTATCCCTAACCTAATCCTAGCCCTAACCCTAGCTAGAACTATCTGTTGCCGACCAAGTGGAGACGCTGGGGCGAAAAATCTTTTTCCGAGTAGGCAGGGCCTAGTCACTTCATAAAAAAAAAGCGTCTGCAATAAAATGGTACAACTTCGGGACATAGTTATAGTATACATACAAATGCGCTACCTTTTTCGGTCTCTGTATTCTATCTTGTTTAGCAGTTTCATCGACAACTAAAGCTGAGGCATTTTTAATGGGTTTTATTTCTTCGGAGAGTGGATCAGTTTTGATTACGCCTTCCTCCGCCATTTTGATTAAATTTGCCGCAAATAAAAATGACCGTGATATAACGACAATATCGTTCCTAACATAGATCTGGATCTAGATTTATTATTCTAAGCTATTTAAGATATAAGATATTTTATTTAGGTTTGATTTTTTTAAAATAGGTTGGAAAAATATAGCAACGCTGGTAGCTATAAGTTATTAATAGCACTCTCTCTAGATACGTTTGTTTTTTTAAATGTGGATAGCATTTTATTGACATTCGATTACGACAATACTTGTTTTCTCCTAATATTATTATTTGTTTATGTCTAGCAGACAGAAACATTAATTCATTCATGGGCCTGGGGCCTTTAAATTCATAGTGCTCATGACGTCTAAACATTTGTAACAAGCTAGGGAGAGAAAACATGAGTTTTGTCGATCTGTATATACGTATATACTCTAATTAAAAAACTGCTTAGATTACATGTCATTAGTAAATACCCCCCCCCCCCCCATCTTTAGGGGTCGTCCTTAAATAAATGACGTCAAATTCGTAGGGAAGGGGGAGGTCCGTAATTTTGTGACGGTTTGTGATGATTTTTCGCCCTTCAGAAAACTGTTTTAATAAATAATTATTGTAACAGAAATTGATTAAAATACTCATTGTGGACAGATTTCAAACACGATTTTTAGAAAAAATCATGATGTTTAACAGACAAATTCAACTGCAATAGTGGGTGATGTAGCCATGTAGGCTGAGGTTTAACATAATTTTATCAGGGGGGGGGAGAGGTCTGGCTTTTTGTGACGATGTGTGACGGTGGGGGGGGGGGGGGTAATTGTCAAAAAAGCGTGACGTCATTTATGGATGACCCTTTACCCTTACCGAAAGAATGTTCACCCCCCCCCCCCTCCGAAGAACGAAATGGTAAATATATAGGCCTATGTTAACTAGTGTCCGCTATCCGAAAATGTAAGTGACACCCCCCCTCCTTTCCCCTGAAGAATTAAAGCCTCCCCCCTCCCCCCATCTGAAGACCTACTTATTTCTTTGGATTACAATTGACGTAAAATTATTTTTTTAGAGTTCAAGTTAACGATTTCTATTTGTCCTGTATGAATTCAAATAAACGTAGGAACTAATCACGTTATTCTCGTAAGCAACGAGAACTGAATGAATAGACTTAGGCCTAGATTCTATGCAGTAGGTAAGCCCATATTAGGTTAACACTGCACAGTGCTAAAATGTCCTTTAATTCATCGGTTCTCAAAAAGTATGTCACTGAGCCTCCATTCAAATCTAAAAATAGAATTGTTGTCATCTCCACAGCCTATATACCCCCCCCCCCCTGTACTCGGCTCGAGTTGTAATAAAACTAAATTTTAAAATGTAATTATTTATATAATTATTATTTATGTAATTATTTATATAAAAGTGAAGTTACCTTTCCAAAACTGATGATCCATGGGGCAGTTGAAGTAGATTCCACGTGTCACCGTGACCTCGGCATGTGAAAGGTCAGCACTATACCCAGCTGCTTTATTTGGATAGACTCAGTGACGCTCTACAGATTCGAACCCGGGTTCGGAACTCGAGACTTTCTGGTTTAGTAGCCGTGCGCTCTACCGTTCGACCTATTTCATTATGTACAATTGTAGTGGCTGTGCATATTAGCAATCTGTGTACATTACTGAATAAAAGGGCGCTTCATTGTACTTTTCTACCCTTTGACAAATATTGCATAGATAAGATGGATCCTCCGTTAAGCACATACATTGTGTACTATTTAAATTAGGCATTTGTGAACACACACAAAAAAATGTCAGAATTTAGGATAGGCTCAAATTATACGTAAAAATCAAACGTTTGCTCCCTACCAAATAAGAAATAAATACCGCTAGTGGTTTTCTTTTTTTAAATTTATATTCCATTATATCTTTTATCATATATATTTGTAAATTGGAAAATTTATCATAAATTATATTTCATACTTATATTTATTTAATTGTAAAACCATAATCCACTATTTTATTTTGTGTTGATTGAATTTAACCATGTGTGTAATGACAATCGGCAACATAGTTATAAGTTGTCTTCCTTTGTTATAATTAATTTTTAAGATGGTAAGTAACTACGTCAAAGTTTCAGATAAAACCATTATTTTTGAAACTCTCATTATGATGTGCGCTATAAACGATGATGTATTGCAACTATTTGCATACATATCAAATAATATCAAGGCCTATTTACTTTGATATAATTAATTTCAGTTATGATTTTCGCGCTTCGCAAAGCTATAGTCTGAGTTTGCGGTTTCTGAGCAACTGATATATATTTATCAATTCGTTTCACATAATTAAAACATAGCAGATTTAATGCATAGCAACAGTGCTGTTCAAACATAAGATAAACACTCCCAAAAACTTGATGACAGCCGTATTACAACACAACAATGAAGTATTTACTGTCATAGTTAGCATAAGGAGCAAAGAGGGCTAAGTCAAGTCAAGTAATTGTGAGTTGTTTGTAGAGTAAACACAAAATGTAGAAAGAAAAATGTCGATGTGTCTGTCCTGCCTCCATTATTCTTCATATTGAAAACAATAAAAGTACAAAAGATAATGTGATTTTATGAATTTAAATAAATGTGTGCTTGTTTAGGTTATTCGTGTAAAGTTGATTACTTAGGAGCTATCTCTAAATTAATCTTTAAGAGATGAAGCAAATTCTTGGAGAAAACACGCCGTATTATAATAATAAATTACCAACGTATTACACATCACTACAAATCGTTACATTTAATATATGCTTGACTGTTGTTTACACAATTACAACTAAAAATAAATATAAAGAAAATAGCATTATCAGAACAAAAATCATTTGTGAGAAATTTAAAAAAATAATGAAGAAAACATCTCAAAACAACGAAACACATCTTTGGTTTATTTTCCACAGTAGAACAGTAATTAACTAAACAAAAAGCAATAAAAATTCATCAAAATTTTATAGAAATAAAACGAGTCAATGCTTAAAAAAGAAAACAAATTCAGTATTGAGTGTTTATAAATGACGGTAGACCGTTAGTTAAAGCCGAGTTTTAGTTTTATCCCCGTACTATAGTTAGTAATAAAAAAAGAGCCCTATAAAATATCCACAAATGTACGCCCTTTCTTCTAAAATAGGCACGCGTTTGTGCATTTCATTATTTAATCATTAATTTAGTTCATCCAAAATTGTCAAATGAATGCGATTTTATTTCGCGACACATCGTCACAAAAGTCTTACTACTATTATATACTACACGCGTTATTTTCCTTTTTGATTTGGCATCAGTTATGGTTCTGTCCTCACTCTTGCTAAAAGTAAAACTAAAATTGATATTATTTCAACGGCAGTCCTTTATATACTTTATGTACATTATAAACGAATCTGGTTCCCTTTTAGCAACTGCTGATTCTAAGCTGCAAAGGTAACTGTCCCTTAGGTCAATCAGCTGTATGAGTAACACTGACACTTCATATCATAGTGTTCAGGCACTTCTTGGATTATCAATGAGCAATCATCAAATTGTCAGTTAGACCATGGATAATTAAAAACAGAGCGGTAATTCAACTAGAAAATTGATCTTATTTACATTATCTGGAAGGAGAGACCCCATTCAGCTTGAATCACAGACTGGCGGGTAGTGTTTTAGTCTTTGTTGTTATGGTTACCGCTAGGGATAGTGTAAGATCGTTGATGGTAACATTTCGTTATAAGGAATGCTACTCATGCGAACATGCAGCCATTAATACAAGAATTGGAACATAATCTGCAAACTTTATCAATGAGTATTTTAAAAAAATATCTTTACAAACACAAACGAGAAAAAGTGTATAGTTGTTTTGATATTGAATTATGTTTCGCTTAAATATGTTTTCTTTGAATTCATAGGAGGTGATACAACTGTGCTGGAGTTTTTAGAGAAAAAAATATCACAATTGTGTTCATTTAGTCCCTTTAAACACCAGAACAAAATATCCGTTGCTATGGTGACGATGACCAAGCCTGACGCTAGACTTGAAGATGTTTTAAGAGGCTGTGCTGTGTGTAGTAATATGTGGGTGATTCGTCCTCTACTGGCTGCTGGGAGGAAGCATGCTCATTTCCGGTTGTGTTGGTAGTTGTGTGGGTTTGATGTGTGGGTGCCGGTTCTGTTATAGTTAGGTGTGTGGGTGCTGATTGTGTGGTCTTAGATACAATATAAGGATTTATAGTGGCATTTCTCTCCTTGTTTCTCACTAAATTGTCAACGCTTAACGGTGTCGAATATTCATCTTCATCAATTTCATTAGCTTTATTATCACACACCATTACCGGGTAGTCGTAATCGTCAGGTTTGATTTTAGATAGATCGATAATATCCACTTCTTTAACACCAGTATCGTCCGAATTTGTAATCGGTTCTGTGAAAGGGGACATTCCTTCGTACGATACGTCAGAATAGCGTCTAGGCTGAGGAATCGGATCCCGATATTTGGGATCTTGTTTCTCTCCGAGCAAGACATTATAAGGGTTCGTTGTTTCTACCACACGGTATCGCAACACGGAGTAATCGTGTTTAGCTTCGTTGTTAAAAGTCGAATAACCGTCGTCTGCTTCACAGTCATCCGGATGTTTGTCCGCTTGGCCAACTGATATATTGTTTACAGCAGGTGTTGTTTCAGACGTGATGACGTCAGTTCCGGTACCCCTTCCCGCTTGGACATAATCTCCAGGTCTATTATTAGTATAGCGTGTATTGTTAGTGTCCCCATCTGTATTGTCTTGGAAAGCCCGATAACCTCGGCTTTTAGAATATTGATCGTCATCTACGCTAATCAGCTCATAGTTTTTCAAATCAGAATCAGAATTTCGATAGGCCGTGTCATTACTAAAACCAGCGAGGGCGTTGTTTGGAGCGGAAGTGTGTTGTTTCAACGCCCTTGACCTTTTTCTTCGAAACCTAAGAAGGATGATAACGAGAAGAACCACAAGCACAATACCGACACACGCTCCAATTACAGCACCTGCGATTTTCCCAGCATCTGTTGAAGATGAAGTCTGCGAGTTACGGAAAAATCCACTACACAAAGTTTCAGTGTTATTTACTTGCAATTCAACCACCGCACCCGTAAACTGTATGTTGATAAATGTGTTCATGTTCCACGTAACTGATTTATTCCCAGAACAATTGTTTAGGTGAAGCGCTGTGTTTGGATCTAGCGCACTGCAAACATCTTTGCTTGAATTGTTATACAACGTGCAGTTATTCCTACTTGTATTACTTATGGCTAAACTATTAAGATCCGTGAATTCACAAATATAAATTCCAGAAATATTAGGTCCAGTTTGAAAATTCGTTGTATTGTTTAATTTGAAAGCGAAGTTAGCCCGTGTTAAATTCAGGCTCAGTTCACACTTCAGAGACAGGGAGAGGTTGCAAAAACATTCAGACATTCTGAAAAATAATATTAATAAGACAATACATAGGCATACGGCAATTAGGTCAAAACTACCTTAGATAAGACATAAGTATTGAAAATGTATTTGTAGATAACTATATGTTTACGTCTATATTTATCTATAGAAAATGTATTTGTACATAACTATATGTTTACGTCTATATTTGTTTATGTGTGTTACCGGCAAATTGTGAAATCTTATACGTGCCATGGAATGCTATAGAGGCTAAATATTTGAGCGTAAAGTGCATGTATATCTTATGTAAATACATACGCTTAACTTAACGTTTACCCTTATGTTTATGTATTTGTATAAACAGTACGTGTGTAAGCATGCACTCTACTGCCTCTCCATACTCTGCTATATCTCGATATAATACTCGTTTATATATTTGTTTATTACTTACACTTCTTGTATGTTGATCGAAACTGCGTTGTTTACATTGCCTGGTGTTGGTTGTGTCATCTTTAAGGAAGTAGTCGGTGATGTAGTTGATGTAGATGCAGAACTGGTGACTGGTGATGATGCAGTAAGCTTTGTAGTACTAAGGGTTGTTGATGTGGGTGCAGATTTTGCTGTTGTGGAATTTGTTGTAGACATAGTTGTGGTGGTTGTTTTCGGGCTAGTTGCTGTTGTTGTTGTTGGTTTGGTTGTTGTTGTGGAAGTAAGTGTGGTTGAACTTGAGGTGGATGGTGTGTTTGTATTTGTTATTAGGTTTTTTGTAGTGGCTTTAGGAGGGGTTGTTGTTATTGCTGTGTTTTTTGTCGTCGTTTCTGTTTTAGGCGAGGTAGCCGCTGCATCAGAGGTTATACAATTGAAAAAAACTAAAGAAGCCATAATGATGAACGTGCATGTATACATTTCAACAGCGCTGGCCGTGGAAGCGATGGCAGAAGGATCTGAAACAAAACAAAAATAATTAAAATGGCTATTTACATTAGCATTTTCGTAACCAAATTATTGGTTTACATAAATCACTACTTACGATACTTTAACATTGCTACACCTAATCATTGATGATTCCTAATCATAACATAACTAGAAGACCAAGAGAAACCTTCTCCTCCATCAATGGATTTACAAAAAATAATCTCACACGTCAAGAAACAACCAGTTAAACGAATCGTACAAAACAAGTCATGTAGCAGCCAAAAAAATCTACTCCAAGAAGTGCTAGAAAAAACAAAAACATCCACCCCCCAAACTTGTCCCGAAACCTTCAGAAAAATTCCTCACCAGTAAGACAGTTGAAAGCTCTCCGTTGTTAGAAATAATATAAAACAGAAAACCCAGCGTTTAGAAAGTATGATCTAACCGCAATAAAAAAGAAAATTGACTTGGAACTCTAAACAACTGTCAATTGAGGTGGTCACAAACTTTGGCGTATCTCAAACAGATGCAAACCTCCTGACCGCCTAACCATTTCTCAAGTAGACTGCCTTACAGGTGCCAGAAATGTCCAGCAGCTCCTACACAATCCATACAATGTTACAGTGGATCCTGGATCACACCCTATTACAACGATCTGTACAACAAGGTCACAATATAGTGAGACAACACGTCTCACAAAGTAAACGTTAGTCCAAGCAAAGCATGCATTTGCGGTTCTTCTTCTCCGTTTTTAATTGTAAAGTTGGACGAGATCCCCCTCCCCCAAACGCAATAGGGCTGGTAAGTAGGTCACCAACCAGTTCTATAGCTCATGCAGGTTTTATTGAGCCTTAGAACTGGTTGGTGACCTACTTATCAGCCTTATTAAGTATCAATTGTCAACCTGTTATGCCCATTGTTAACTCCAAGCCTGCTTTTCCTTTCGGATTTGCTTCCATAGTCATTGCCCACCCAATAACAAACTACAAAGCAGCAGTTGTTTTTTTTTCTCATTTTGGAATCTCCTCTTTAGACGGGTGGCTGTCGGTAGTTCGAACTCTGGTCTTTTCGGTTTAGCAACCATGAGCTTTACCGTGTCGACCACGCCGACATCGCCTTTGCAGCATTGTCCCGGGATATACCAAACAAGACATAACCTTTCACTAACAGGCAAAGGCTGGACTATGGCCCCCAAAATACCACACTAAGAGAAAAATAGTGTTCACGTTGTTTGCTGAGTTGCGAATAATTGTTTAGTTATTCTGCATTGTTTGAATATTTTGTATAAACCTCAATAAAGAAACACATAATAAATAAAATGTATATTACTAAATAAATAAAATGATTTTCCTTATTTTTAGAAATGACCGCTTTAAATGTTATTATTTTTAAATGCTTTTTAATTTTTTATTATCGAGAAAATTAAAGGACGTAAGATATTTGTACAATGAAATGCACCGAATGTTTGCCTTAGTGAGCAACAAAAGGTGAAATTTAGAGAACAATCAATAAATATTTTTAAAATAAATGAATCTTGAAATTATCTCAGTTTTTACCAAATGGCATAGTCAACGGTTCGTGAGAAATATATGAGAATTTTTGAAACAAATAGGTTAGGTAGAATTTTTTGAGATTTAGTTCGCTCGTGTAGGCCTACACCCTAGCCCTAGACGAAGGAAAGTATGACAGGGTGATTAAACTTTAAAGAAAGCTTAAAAAACATGCCTTTTTATATTTTTAGGTCATATATAAGACATTATTGTATTACGCTCAATATATACCCAAAATTTTAAATCCACACACAATATATTGCATACATATTTTAAGGATCCCAAGTATCCATATAGGTTTTAATTTAAAAAGCAAATTATATTTACCTTGAAATAGTGCTAACTGAAAATCCCTGATGATTTTAAGTCTTTAGAATATTTACGTTGCCCAAATCTATTTTTATATATTTGGCTATGTAACTCTCCTTCTCTGCTCCATTTTTCTTTTCCTGCACAGCAAGTTTTAAATGCTGTTACGAAAGAAATGAAATGCTTTACCCTGTAATCAGGAAGTTGAATACGTTAAAGTTGTCGTCTGCAGGCGAAGGCCACACAACACCAAGCACACTGATGCAGCTGTTTGTCTTTTGTACAGGCTTCGTATGTTTTCTTGTACGTCTGTTTTTATGTTGGCTCTTTAATTTGCATTTTGTTAAACCTTCCTAATTCTGTGGAAGCATTAATGTATTTTTAAATAAGAATCTGTCGTATTTTCAACCATACGTTTGAATAGAGTCTACTCAACTGTTACGCTATTTAACTGTATAAATCCCACGTGTTGCCATTTAAAAGAGATTGAAATTTTTCTATTCAATGGACATCTGGTTTAGTAGGTTTTCTACTTAGAACGTACAAGGTTGCGTGCGAAATTATAGCCTAGAAGTTTATAACAGAATTGCTTTTTCCACCGTTTACAAATTGATACATTTTAAACGGGATTGAATACTGCAGTTAACATATCCGTACAGTTCCACAAGAAATCTAACCAACAAATTTATCTCAATGAATCTCACTGAACCAGGTTGAGTGATGGGTGTGTGAATAGAATGTGTGTCTTTGCAAGATTTTGTTAAATAAATAAATACATAAATACCACTTAAATGTAAATATTTAGGGTATACGCGCGCGTACACACAAACACACACACACATATATATACACACACAAACACACATACACACACATGACATTCACATTTTCGCTTGAGCAGTAGAGCAATGCAACAAAAACACGACGGTATTGTTATAAACTGCCCGTATAATTCAAACCACATCTCCGACAAAGCCCTAGCCGCCAATATCCTTGGGTGTGTCGGTCTTGTTTTTTGTGAGGAGGATTTGTGCTGTGTTGCTACTAAACGTGTGTACATTTGATGTGTAACATTCATTTTCTTAGCTTTTTGCTATTTTTGTCCATATATATATATATATGTATATATATATATATATATATATATATATATATATATATATATATATATATATATATATATATATATATATATATATATATCTTGCTCAGAACTTGGCTATTGTAGATCCATTTTTCGATTTCTTCTATATTTTTACACAATTTTGTTTTAAAACTACCAAAGTGGTATTGCGAAATATTTGTGGCTATATCACTTTCCATTATTACACAACAATTGTATTTCCCTAATTACTTCACAAAGAAATGTAAAGGGAAAACAAAACCGTGAAGCCTTCTTGTGAATAATTTAAAAACTTGAGTGAAAACAGTCTAGTTTTAAGGAAGCAATATACAGGCCTATATAATTATCATCATTACCATAAACATTATGTGAACTTTGACTCATTTTCGTCCAAGTTTAGAAGAGAAAAAACCAAAAACAAAAAACAAAGCAGTTAAGTAAAACTTTATCTCTAGAAGGAAGTAAGTTGTCTGATAGGTTAACAGCTACACACACTTACCTATACATACAACATACTTCGTGCCTGAATAAGTGTGAATCGAAAGCTGGGGGGAATATTTACCTAACCTCCCGTCTATATTTTCTTGAAAAGCTAAAGCAACAGAAAATGTATTATTCATGTGAGAAAATAATCGTCTAAATTTCTACAGACACGTATTTTTAGAAAAAACATCTGCGATCTCAACTTCCTCCCTCCCCCCACTACAACACACTGTTGAAATTAAGAAGTGACTACATGAACTAATGTCGTGTTACCCCCTAGGGGACGTGGCGTAGCCTCGTCGTTTAAAACGTGCTTTAACCTCGACATCCATTAAGCTAGTCTCTTAATTGCACCACCCATTGCGCTTTGCATTGCTCAATTTTTCTACCCACCCACCCCCTAAAGCCACTAGCATGTTGATACCACTTCGCCCTTCCCCCTTCATTCATTCCCCTCTCCAAATAAAAAAAAACTATGGTACCTCCCCTACGCTTTCACAAGTAAACATGCTTTATAAATGTATACTATTTTAACTCGTTACGTATCCCCTTACCCCCCCCCCCCCCCCCACATTCAAGACAATGATTTTATGTATTAGTTTACTACCTAAAATATATAGGCCTACTGTATTACATAGCAATGTTTCCCTTCCATATACATTACGTATAGGGGCTGTTTTACAGCCAAGAACATTCCTGTAACAGTATATGTCACGCATCATATATTACCTGCACGTTAATCTTAGTGTGCCGACAGCTAAGCCAGCCTTGACAACAGGAAGAAAAATGTCCCAGGGAAAGATAAGCTAAAAAAGTGCCCGGAGTTACCGGCCTTTATCTTGGCATTTCGAAAGAGTAAATCCCCCATTCCCTGCCCTGTTGTAACTATCCGATTGTTTTGTTTTGTTGTGCTGCAATTGTGTTGAGAAATCTACATATCATGTTTTCGATTGAGTGTCCTTTTACTGAGTTTTTTATGTCTAGAAAGAGATCTTAGACTTGCTTTCAACTCCAGTTTTCCCAGCGTCATGTCTTGAGTAACATTACTAATGAATGTGCTAATTTTTCTTTAAAAACAAAAAAACCAAAGCTGAAATTTGTGTTCCATTTTAATCAAAATACACTACATATTAATTTCTATTTGGAAAAGACATTTCAATTACAATATTAACAATTTAAAATATAAAAAAAACATATTATGTCTATATAATATTTTTTTAAAATTAGATTATGAAATATTTCTTTTATATTTGACATTAGTAGATTCTTCACATGTTGTTATTGTGTTTAGGTACACATCAAGACCAGTGGCGTAGCGAGGTCGGGTGTCACCCGGTGCGGCACTTAATGGTGTCAACCCCACCTCCCCCCAGAGGCGGCGTAGCGACCCTTCCCGGGGACAAACTTTCAAATTTTCGATTTGCACCCCCCCCCCTCAAACTTTCGATTTGCACCCCCCCCCCCCTCAAGTTTTTCTCTATATATTTTGCTATTTTTTGCCTTGGTGTCACCCCCCTAAATGGTGTCACCCGGTGCGGTCCGCACCCCCCGCCCCCCCCCCCCCCCTTGCTACGCCCCTGATCAAGACCTAACACACAGCTTAATTGCCACTATGACATCGTCAGTTTGTCTCGTTTATTAATAAAATGAAAGACCAATTTTCAAAACTTCAAACTTTTATTTCGAAATGTATAAAAGTATATCATTTTGTTTGGGGAAATTTAAAGTGAGATTTTAAAAAATGAAGTAAAGAATAAACTTGCACAAGAATATTGCCAGCATAGCATAGTGGAGTTATTTTTTTTTCGCACTATTAGCAGGGTATTAAATGACGGCCCTAACACAGTTTTTGACGGGGCTATATTCGTGGCTATATTTAGACAGTCTTCTAAATCCCAAAACGAACCCTAACCGTATCACAAAAGCAGACCGTGTCCTTATTTCTAGACCTAACCCGATAAAGACACATGACAGAAAAGCATCATTATATAACTGAGTTGCATTTACTGTGTTTACAAATATGTATTAAGAATATGTATTTTTAAGCTGGTATTGGACGTTACGCCACAACATCGTTTCTCATCCACGGTGACGTCATAACCTCGTGCTTTTATCAACTTTCTGACGTCATAACCTGGAGGTGTCCACGAAGTCGTTCTCCAGCGAGGCGTTGAGCTCGCGGTTGGAGTGGGCGTGGCTGGTCCTCTTGCTGACCTCCAGGCTGGTGAGCCCGGGCTCCGAGTACCGCTTGTAGGTCAAGGCCGGCTGTTGGAAGAAACTGTCCGTTGCGTCGTGTTTGGCCTGGGCGTCGTCCGCCAGCTGCCTGTTGACGTCATCCTGGACGATTCTGGAGTAGAGTGAGCTCCCCCTGTCGGAGACTGACCCCACGGGTTTGTTCGGGTCCTTTTCTCTGATCTTCACACCTTTATCCTCGCTCTGTATAGAAGACGAGCTGTTCTTGTTTGAAACAAGGGAAGACCTAGAGTTGTCCTTACCGTTTTGAGTAGCCTCCCCTGAATCTCCGGATGCTTCAATTTGCGTGTAAGACAAAGGCGCGACCTCTTCTATTTCAGACGTAGGAAGATCATCAAGCTCCACTTCATCGTGTTTCGATACCACAGACGCTCTTGTAGAATCACGAGCTTCCACATTTTCATCCGACTTTGATTCCTTCTTCTTCTTCTTCTTTTTCTTATCACCTGTTGCACAAATAACAATAATTACAATAATTCCAATTAAAAGAACAAGTCCGCAGGCGGCCCCAGCTATGATTCCAATCAAGACGAAGACGTTCATACTAGATCCACTAGAAGATTCAGGTGTAGTAGCTAAATGTCCTGCTGTTGTTGTTGGTAAGTCTAAACACCCGTGGTTGCAAGATGCGTTGACATTCTGCGTGTTTACGGTCACCTCAATGTCCTGGTTTAGCGCCCAGTAGAAGGAGAAGGAGTCACAGCTGCCTTGGGTTTCAAAACTGCAGGCGTTGATCTTGGTGACGTCGCTGCAGTTGTAGTCCGAGCGGGTGCAGGTGAGGTTACCGTGTCCTTGGAGGTAGCGGACGTCCGGGATGTGGCAGACGAAGCTGTTGGTGTTGTTGGATGGTGTGGGTAACGTTTCCTGCACCGTTGTGGTCGGGGAGAAGAAATACCCGGCAGGGCCGTGAATAAATTCAATGTGCGTCACGCAGATGAGGGAAGAGTCGTTGCATAGACAATCTGCCAGCCTGTTATAAATATCCAACATAAATTGTTGTATAATAAAGCAGTAGGAACAAAAATAATAAACAAATAATGTTTATATTATGTGTTAAATAAGAACAAGCAAACTTGGGAAGGGAAGTAATTCAGGAATAAATCTTAATTGACAGTCGACGTTTTACAATCCTGAATTAATTCCCTTTACTTTATCGAAAAAGATTCAAATTTTTTAAAGAGGCAGAACGATAGTACGATACATACATTTTTGGAAAAAAAAATGTGTGTGCGTCACGTGTTAAGGGTAGTTTAACATTATGCTAGCTGCTAGGCTAAATGGTTCTTCTAATAACGTCAGAATGGGAGTATCGGACTCTCTCCGCCTCAGTTTGATGGATAGGGTTAGGGTTTAGTTTTAGACATTCTACTCCTGGGGTTTGAGCCACTTTATGTGTAGGGGGTGGGCAATTATTAGAATGGTTACATATAATCCTTTTTTTATTTCATCAGGGAGTGGGTCGTGGGACACAATTAAGGAATTAGTATCAACTTGTCACTGCCATGTTTTACAATATTATACGATTGTAGACGTTCTTTTTATTAGAAAAGTAAAGTACAGTAACACTAATAAGAAATGTAAAGTATCGCAACACATAATGTTATTTTTTAAATTAAGGAATGCAAAGCGCCATAAACCCAGTTCAACTAGCAACAGAAAAGAACAGTTCAACACCAGAGTTTCTTCAAGGCATCTCTGGTAAAACGTCTACCGCCCCCCCCCCCCCGAAATGGAATTAATATAGAAAAAATATACTTTTACCAGTGTGTCCCCCTACCCCCCCCCCGGAAAATATCAAGTACCCCCCACCCCCGGAGAAAAAGTCTGAAAGAAACACTGCTCAACACATTCAGCTTACTCTGCGAGGGTGACAGGTTCGAACACGACCGTTGGACTGTGCCAGACGGAGTCCACGACCGTCAGGTTCATGGCGATGTAGTTAGGCAGGAATCTGGACACGTTGGCGTTGATGGAGACGTTAGTGACGTCATCAGCTGCTCGCGCGCTGCTCAGACACGACGCAGTGATCAGCCAGAAGAGACCAAGTTTGGTCTTCATGTTTGCGTATTTAGACCTGCGGATTTTACAAACACAAAAGTAAATAAAGCCGTGTTTTTATTTGTTTATGTTTTGTTTTTCGTTTTTTTTTCATTACTATTTAAAAAAAAATTGTATAAATTTAAATTATTTCAATTCTTAAATTTTTTTAATAAACATATAAGTTCAGTGTTAATTTACTCTACATGTAAACCAACATGTCATTAAGGTCTAAAGTTAAAAACTATTTTGGCATTGTTAGATTATTCATTCGGACAATACCTCACACAAATTAAGTTGTTACTATTTTAGATAATGAACAGCATCTTGAATAATCGATTAATAAAGCATAATTTATTTTTCTCCATGATTATGCAGTTAACGCATGTCTAATTTGTTTTTTAATGGTGTCTCTGAACATATTTCTTGTTGTTAGGGTGGCTGATGCAATGTATTCAAATTAAACTTACAGTTTTGTATCGAGGAATAAGCTTTATGTCCTATCCTATATCCTTTAGTTGTTCTGATTGTTTCTTTGGAAAACAAAACAACAACAGAAATTTGCAACTGCAATAAACTCCTGGGGACCGTCTATTTAAATTTGACATGAAGCTAATTAACGGACAATTATATAGATAATTTGATGAGCGTCGTGCTGACGTCATGAATTATTGTCAACATTAGCTTATCGCAGCATCTCTCAAAATAACTCGCTGACTTAATTACTGTTGATTGACATCACCTCATGTCATCTGTAATTAGAGACTTTAATTAATTAATTAATTATTGTTTCTCTACTTTATAGTCTACAGATATTATTTTATTAATAAAAAACGGTAATTGTGACACACGGATATTTTTTTACTATATTTTAATGTTAGAGTTGTCGCTGAGGTAAAGCATGGTCGATGGATAGCTCAATCGCTTTACGAAAGTCTTGAGGTGGGTTCCTACACCTTCTTGTGTAAATGCAGCTCACGTGGTTACCTGACTTGACCGGGGAGAAATAAAATAAACGAGCTGACCCGCGACGTAGCATACGCCACTATCTAGATCTAGTTGTTTTATTTTCTACTTATCAACAATTCATAATTTTAAAAAAAATCACACTACCCCACACCCCCTGCCTCCCCAACCCCCCCCCCCCCACCCCCCCCTCACCCACCCCGCCCAGTGAAGGCAGCCGTTTACAGACGACAATGAAAATAGCAAGCAGAACTTATTATCTCCCCATAGTTTCAAATCGTTTAAAAACTAAATTATCTGCCCCTAATAGTCGTCACTTATTCGAACTTATAGTTTACTATTGTAAACATTCGGGGTGAACCACAGCTCATCTGACAGGTGGGGATGAGGGTGGTGGCTAAGCTGCGTGGTGTTTCGTATGGTCCCAATGAAGAGAATTATAGATCTATATATAGATGACGCCACGAAGAGTTAGCTAACCAACTCCACCCATATGAATAAACGCGTTTTAGTGCTTTTAAAAGTGTGTTCTTCATTTTAAAAAATTACACAACAGAATTTATATTGTACATTTTTAAACCATGCTCATATCCCGTCACACATTTTCACAATATCCTAGGCTGCCCCCCCCCTCCCTATTTGACGTCAATAATTGAAGCCTCGTCTTAATTCTAAACAGCTGCTTATGAGATATCTTGTCTGTGTTACTACCAGAGTCTCTTCCAGGCATCTCTTCGGGGGGGGGGGGGGGGGGGGGGGGCTCAGGCCCCCGAAGAAAGTCTACCGCCCCCCCCCCCCAGAAGGAAATGGAATTTATATAGAAAACCTATGCTTTGACCAGAGTCCGCCCCCCCCCCCCCACCCGGAAAATGTTGTCTCTTCCCCCCCCCCCCCCCCCCCCCCCCGAAAATATCAAGTGCCCCCCGGAGTCTGGAAGGAACAATGGTTACTGCTACTAATTTTTTTCAAAATTATTTTAATAACGTTCTATACGATCTATACACCTTAAATCTAATTTATTTAGATTGTCTTTAATATTTGTAGACATACAGATTACTGTTCTTAGAAAGAAAAGAAAAAAGTATAATGTAAAATAACATCAAGATTTTCTCAGACAAATATTGTATTAACATATCACCTACGTATTTAGCACCAAGGTTAGGTCACAGTAACACTGGCCAAGGTGACGTAATCACAGCTGACCGAAGTGGCCGTGTGGAAGATGATTCATCGGAATACCTCGTTCTAGATAACGGTAGTCACGTGACTCTCAACGCTGATGTTGCGCCATTGTTATTTATAGCTCTTTCAAGGGGGCCGCCAGGATCGTTGATGTAGTGGGCTTATACTTGCTTTGATTTAGTCTTATTAGAGACTTGACATTTACAAATAATTTGCTGGTCTTTCTACATTTTCCATACCTTCATGCTAAGTTGAAAAACTCAGGATTTGATGGAGAAAAAGAATGCACAATGTTAACATCAATCTGCAGTGGGGGCCAATTTTAACATTTCCCGGGGTTTTTGGACACAGCTAGTCTATTACTGTATGGGTTTTTTTTTTTAAATTTAAACCCCAGGGGCTTTTGGACACAGCCAGGCTGGGGGGGGGGGGGGGGAAGAGGGGAACGAAAAAAAATTGTATAATCTATGTTGTTTACTAGTGTCCCCCTAAAATTCCAAGTGACTCCCCCCTCTTCTCCCCCCCCCCCCCCCCCCCGGGGAGATAAATGTCTGCAAAATATCAAGGCGAGAGTGTCTTTTTGTTCACAATTCTAACATAAAGTGCGCCTCAGTGGTAAAACGTTGGCAAACTTACGTAAAGTACTTTGTACACCGTCACACAATGTTATTTTATCAGCTCAGTTCTACCCTGATAACACCAACAGTTCTAAATATAGAAATCGCTGTTTATAGAAGCGAAGTATTCTTTTTTATCTGTTCTGCTAATACCCAGATGTTATCTCGCAGATTAAAAATAGATTTAAATCGATGTTGGATTGACGAAGTTATACACATGTTTTTAACGTATCGGGAAAAAATCAGGTGATATATTTAGCTAAAATATGTAGTAAACAGTTTATTTCGGATAATCTTACAATGGGAAATACACACAATGATTTTTATATGCGTTATGTAACATAAGAATGTTACACAACACTGCCTCAGACCTTTTTTTAATTTTTTTTCCATTTTGCTCAAGTTGATTGTTTTTTTTTTATAATTTAGCTGGATATTGGATGGCTTGGTAGGAAGGTAGAGCTTGCAGCTTTTAACTTGAAAGTCTTGAGTTCGGATCGGGGGATCAAGTCAGTAGGAAGTCCCCCAAGTCCACCAATGCAATGGTAGGTTTCTGACTACTGGGCATAGTGTTTATCCTTTACATACCGAGCTCACAGAAATAGGTTAAATCTACTTCAACTGCATTGTGGATAGCCAAGTCAGAAAGTGTAACTTTAAATTAGGTCTATTACAACTGCTGGCTGATACATTATTTAAAAAAAAAATAATAAAAAATGATATATTTGGTAGCTTCAGAAAGTGCTGTATTTTATTGACAGCTGTATCACGGTTATTTTTTCTTTTAGTTATCCTATTAAAAAGTGTGTAGAAATTATCTCAGTATCAAATGAACAATCCCTAAAAGTTCATAGTAATACATTTATTGTATGTACAAATTGTCACCAAAGACATTAGTTTGTTAGTTGTAATTATTAAAAAAAAATAACAGTTTGTTATTCAGAATATTTTATTGACATTAACACAACAGAAGAAATCATCACTACAATTAAGAATGGATAAAAAGAAATTGTTACATACTTTCGCCAAGTTTATTAAGTGAACTATTTTTTTTCTTCTGATTTTTAACAACAGAAGATGTGTAGCCACTTTAAGTCTATGTTAAATGACATAAGTTACTTGTGATGGTCGTGCGGTTGAGAGCTCGACTGCTAACCCAAAAGCCTGAAGCTGGATCATGAGTTCGAGTCCATAGGATGTCACTGAAACGACCAGGCTCGATAGGCAGATGACTGTGTTAGGGAAAGTAAAGGAGGCTTGCAATAGCATTATCAACACTACACCCTCATAAGCCGAGGTGAAGTGGGAGGATCTTGACGACTTTTATGGGTCGTAATTGTTGTACCGGTAAAGCTCATAGTTGCTAAAAAGTCATGCTTTAAACTTCCGGGCAGATGAGGCCAAAACGAAACAACAGCAACCTTGTAGTTTATTCTTGGGTGGACAAAGGCTATTAAAGAAAATCCAGAAGGAAAAAAATAGGCAGGAGTTTGGAGTCAACGGCAGTGTTTCTTCCAGACTTTTTTCTCCGGGGGGACACTTGAAATTTTCGGGAGGGGGGGGGCGGTAGACTTTCTTCAGGGGGGGGGGGGGCGGGGGGGACAGACACTGTTAAAAGTATATATCTATCTATATATATAAAAAGCAATGTATGTCTGTGTGTCCTTTATGCATTACTACACCTCTCATCACATCGCCGTGAAACTTTGGGAAGTTGTTGAGAATATTCCTGGGGAGGTTTCTGCGAAAAAAAAAATTTCAAATTCGCAGGGGTGGCGCCCCGACAGGGCGCGATTTGTTTTTTTCTATATACGGTATATAAAAATAAAAGTCGATTTTGGTTTGGCATCGTTCATCCGATAGCCATGAGACTTTGTGGAGTTCATTATACTACTCTAGGGAAGGGTTCTGTACAAAAATCATTTTTAATTTCGCAAGGGCGGCGCCACGGGAGGGTGCGATTTTTCTCTATTTACGGTATATAAAAATAATAAAAGTGAACTGTAGTGACAACGTTTATCCGATAGGCATGAAACTTTGGGAATATGTTGGGAATATTCATGGGGAGGTTTCTGCTTAAAATACATTTTCAAATTTGCAGGGGTGGCGCTCCGGTAGGGCGCGATTTGTTTTTTCTCTATATACGATTTATAAAAATAAAAGTCTATTTTGATTTCACACTGTTCATCCGATAGGCATGAAACTTTGGGGAGTTGATTAGAACACTCTAGGGAAGAGTTCTGTACAAAAATCATTTTTAATTTCGCAAGGGCGGCGCCACGAGAGGGTGCGATTTTTCTCTATATACGGTATATAAAAATAATAAAAGTGAATTGCCGTGACACCGTTCACGCGATCGCCATGAAACTTTAGGAAGTTGTTGACAATATTCATGGGGAGGTTTCTGAGTAAAAGAAATATTTCAAATTCGCTTGGGATGGCGCCCCGACACGGCGCGATTTTTTTTTTCTATATACAGTATATAAAAATAAAAGTCGATTTTGGTTTGGCATCGTTCATCCGATAGCCATGAGACTTTGGGGAGTTCAATATACCACTATAGGGAAAGGTTCTGTAAAAAAAAAATTAATTTCGCAAGGGCGGCGCCTCGGGAGGGTCCGATTTTTCTCTATTTACGGTATATAAAAATAATAAAAAGTGAATTGCAGTGACACCGTTTATCCGATAGGCATGAAACTTTGGGGAGTTCATTATAAAACTCTAGGGAAGGGTTCTGTAAAAAATCATTTTTAATTTCGCAAGGGCGACGCCACGGGAGGGTGCGATTTTTCTCTATATACGGTTTATAAATTTTC